TTGATATTTGTTTCAAGCATTAGCCACATGTTTGACTTTGTCCAAAACACACTTAATCACTTGCAAAGAATTTGGTTGGTTGACAAGAACTAGAAAGGGACCCACTAAATTTTCTCCTCCAATCACAACCTTCCTATGGATCCCAAAATGCTGACATGGCATAACAAGATCCTCCCCATTTGTGTCACGTGAATGATCTTTTTAATTCATTTATATATTTCTTTGGTACGCTAGTTTTAATAGGTGAGAAACGACACCACAATTTCCTTTGCCCTTCTTCTCCCATTTCCGGCTTTGCATTTCCCATGTGACAGTTGAGAAATGGCAAAGAACCAAGCAATTGTGTCATTTTCCTTTCTTTCCCTTTCATTTGGTTTGACCAAAGAAAAATAATTTTTTGGGGGTTTAAATTTTCAATATCACATTTTTATTGATCATCTCACTTTTTTTCTTAGTCAATAAAGGTAAGTGATTAAAATTTAAAATTTGAATCTAAAATATGTACGATCGAATCTTTATAATGTTTTATTAGTATGTAATTTATAAGTTTGAAAAAATTTAAAAAATTCATAAATTTTTTTTAATAAATTGACGGTTTATTTTGATTTTAAAAATATAATAATTTTTTTTGTTTTTAAATATTTTTAAATAAAAAATAAAAAATTTAAGATCAAATAGCACACGTGATTTTTAGATATTGATTTTAGATTACTTTTAAAAAAAAAGATTAACAAATAATTTTTGCCTCAAAATTTAATTATTTATTCTTTATGTTGTTTGATTTCATTAAATAAAGTGAGAAATAAAATTCCAAGGGATGCCGACTCAACAGTTAACAAAAACAAAAGTGGCATGAAATGCATTTGATTGAAACAATACCTAATTAAAGTGATCTTAATTACGAGGATTATCGAATAAGACAAAATCTAAGAACACGCGTTGAGTTAGTACGAGAAGAAAAGGAAATTGATCATACTTTTGATTTGATCATTAATAATTTCACTCTTGACAAGTACCGTCACATTTTTAGCTTGATTCATTTTGTTTTGTGCTAAAGAAAAAGAGTTAGAACCAAATTTGATGACTGCCGATGATGTCGGTTTATCATTAAGCACGAATAATTTGTCTCTTAAATTTAATCCAATTGGTTTCAAACTTAATTCAAGTGATAAAGACAGATAAAATTTCGGAAGAAAATTTAAAATTAATATCATGAACGATTTTTAAATTATAATAAAATATTTAATATAGTATTTAAATTTTAAAATTTTTAATGTATTATTTAAATTATAAATTTGTTAAATAATATGATATGCAAAAATTATTTATTTATCATATATCATTATTTGAAATTAATCACATTAAAAATAAATACAATATTAATTAACTAATTTATAGTTTAAATATTATATTAAAATTTTTTAAATTCAAATATCACATTAAATATTTTACTATAATTTAAGAATCATTTATAACATTAATCTTAAAATTTATATTCGAATCATGATACTGACCAATGTAAAAATTATATATTACGAGTTTTTCTTTTTTGAAGTATCTATATATATATATATATATTATTATAGTTTAGAAAATCCCAAGATGCAGTTAAATTAGAACAAAGATTTTAGATACAAGTTAAATAGTAGTGTTCTTTGAATTTTTTAAATAGTTAAATTGTTATGATTAAAATTTGAGTGAATTACATTTTTGGTATATAAACTTTGGATAAATGTATAAATTGGCATTTAAAGAATAAAATATATAATTTACACTTTGATCTTTCATAAAATATACAATTTATATCATAAAATTTTAAAATTTGTATCATTTTTATCTAAATTTAATCCTAACAACCATATCAACTATATATATATATATATATGACATTTAACAAATATTGTCGAATTATATATTTATCACATATATTATCAATTATTTTTTAATAAAAAAATATAAAAAATATAGTTTTTATCTGAATCATAAAAATTATTTAGGATAAATCAATTATTATTTATCACGTAATATTCACATTATATTTTTACAAAATATTTAAAATTTTTATTTAACAAAAAAAATACATATAATAAAATTATATTGACTAAATATCATATAAGCTAATTAAATTAATATTATTAAAATTTAGATTAAAATAATATATTATTAAAAATTTCAAAATACAAATTGTATATTTTATTTACCCATTTAAGCATTTCCTTCAAATTTAGATACTCAAAGTTTAATTATCTCTTAAAAAATCCTCTTGCTTTCTTATAAGAATATCTTTCCTTCTATCCTTGCACTTTTATTGGGTAATTTAAAAAAGAAGATTGGTATCTTTTTGTTTTGATGGTGATGTAGATTTTGTGTTTTCTTTTCTAAACTTTTAAAGTATGATTATCCATTAAGATTCTATTCTACCAAAAGTTTGAAATAGTTATTTTAGTACTATAATTTTTCATTTCCTTGTTCACATTATCATTATCCATAATTTTTTAAAAATTTCTCTAATACATCATTGATAGATCTTTTATCTGTAAATTTTAAAATTTTTTTTAATATATTATTGATAAAATTTAAAAACTTCATCAACAAAGTTAAAGGGAAATTAACAAGTACTCTATTAACATGTGAAGCTTTAGAAGAATTCATGTCAAAACATACTATTGGATAATGAGAAAAAGGAAAATATTTGAATATGTGTATTTTTTTTTTTGTTTATGTTTTGTTTTTACTATTAAAAGATCTCACAAATTAAAAATCTCAATTTCTATCTATTTGGATATGTTTTGGGAGATTTTTTATTGGTTAATTCAATTTCATTTGGTAGAAAAAAGTGAATTGATTTTATTATCAAGGATTTCATTTGCTTAGAAAAGAATTAAAAAAATGAAAAGGATTTCATTCGCTAATGCCAAAAATTAGATTAATTTAATTTCATAAGGTATGCTTGATTTTTTAGTCTTGTAATTAATTATTAAATTAAAGAAAAAATAAATACATTGATCCTTAAATCTTTAGCCTAGTGATTAAAGGCGCTTGAAAAGATATCAGAAATTTAATTTGAAATCAAGTTTCTCCTTCTCCTTTTTTGTACTAGAACCTTACTTTCTTTATGTAATAATAATTAAAAAAAACACATTGATGAGATTTTCATTTTAATTTTGAGAAAATTTTGTTGTTTTTTCTGACTTTTTTTTTTTTATTATTTTGATTTGATAAGAGGATGGCAAAAGCATAGAGAAATACCAAGATTATCATGATTTTTTTTTTTTTAAAGAATTTCTTTTACAAAGTTAGGCCTTGATTTTATTGGAAGGAACCAACTTTACAAGGTTGGCTTTTTAAGTTCATGCATGATGACAATTGATTAAGAAAAGATTTATAATTGATTACATGTTTTTTTTTTCCCTTTATATATTTGTTTTGGGCATGATCCATCATATCAATTTAAACATCATTTTCCAAATTTCATTAGGAAGGATCATAATTCATAACATTAATCTTTTTATTATTTTCTTAGAATTTTTTAAATATAAATCGAATATTATTAGTAAGATTTGAATAAAAATTTTAAATTCGGGATATAATGCTTATTTAAAAATTTTGATTTGTATAAGACAAAATACATTATATATAAGATAAGATAAAATCTTATTCCCTTCTCTTATTTTCTTTGTTCATTTTTTTTATGTCCTAAAATTATATCATTTTTTTAATATCTAAAATTCTTACTTTTATATATTTTTAAATTATTTTTTATGATTTTTTAATTTTTTGTCATTAAAAATAAAAAAAACTTTAATTTTATAAAAAAATTTTAAATTTTAATAGTAAATACATTAAAATCAATTTTTTTTAAACTTTGTAAAAATCAATATATGATAAATATTTTTGAAAGAAAGAGGTATAAATTTGTTATACTAAATGCATGAAAGGATAATTATTTTCTCAATATACTAATTCAGTGAAATATCAAAATTGGGATTCAATTCTAAATGCTAGCAAATTTTTTTATAATGTTCTAAAATTGCAATCACTTTTGTATTAAAAAAAATGAAATGCTAAAATGATGATAGTCTTTAAATTCCTAATTATGTATTTATTTAAAAAAAATTTGATCAGAACCAATATTTTGGATTAAAATCATGTATTTATTTTAAAAAATCATCTATTACATTATAATCTAATTATGATTATTGAAGAATCAATTAATAAATTAAATAATCAAATCCACACATAATAAAACTTAAACCCAAAACTTTAAAATTCTAAAAGCTTCCTTTTGTCACTAATTCAAAGTTTCGTTGACATTTATAAATTGTACTTTCATAATTTTTTAAAATTTTTAAAATTTTTTATAAAAAAATATTGTAATTTAAAAATAAAAAATAATTATATATATTAAAATTTAAAATTAAATATATTAAATATCACCACTTATAAATATTATATAAATTAATTACAATAAATTTCGAATTTTTCATAAGTTTTTGAACAACAAAACAAAATTTAATTTTTTTTATGAATGGACCCAAGTTTTTTCTCCAAGTCAACAAGTTTAAAATAAGATTTTTTTAAAAAATATTTTAAAAATAATTTTTTTTATAAAAACAAAAGCAACTAACAAGAAATAAATTTATGGTGAAATTTAAGTAGAAAAATAAAAATGGATAATATTTTAAAAAAATTATTAGCCGATGAGGCTATGAGTACGCACTGGATGACGGAGTTTATTTTACATAGTCTAGGGAGGCGCGTGACGACAACGGTTGTCGTTTTCCACGCAATTAAAAAAGAAAGGAAATGTCGAAGAATGTTGCCGAACGTGTGCGCAAAGGTCGGCGGCCGTTATTTCTCTTAACGCCGTTAACTCTCTCAGTGCAAAAATGACTTCCTAACATTATAAAAAACAGTTATCGTTAAATTTCCGTCTAAAAAGGATTCCGTTGCATCCTCTTCTTTCCCTCCTATAAATAGAAGACTCTGGCCTGTTTTGTTCTTCGATTTCAAACTTCGAAAAAAAAGAAGGTCCAAGTCATAAGGGAAAGAAGAAGAATTTTTGTGTTTTTTTCTTATTTTGGAGATTTGGGTTTTGATTTTTGATTCTTTTGGAGCAAGAATTTCCAGGTAAACTTAAAAAAATTACTGTTCAGTTGACATTTTCTTGGTGTTTCTTTTGAATTCTTTGATGATTAATTGGCTTTTATTTGAATTGGATTGTTATATTTGTTTCTGGGTTTTCATTGTGGTTGTATTAGTTTTCTGGGAAATGAAAAAAGTAGCCGAGTTTTAAGTGCTTTATGTGCTTATATTTTATTTCCATTAATACTTTGTAAGCAAAAGTTTCTGGGTTTTTGTTTTTTAATTAGAAGTTGTTTGTTTTGCGGGAAAATTGGTTAGTTTTCACTTGAAAAGATTGTCAAAGATTTTCTCTTTCTGGTTTCTTTAAAGTAAATTTTAGCTCTCTTGTTTTGGGAGCCAGATAATCATTAGGATTTGGGCTGTTTCAAGTTGAGGTTGGTTCTGGTTTTCTAACTTTTTGCACATATATATCTTGTCTTTCATAAAGTAGTAGGCAATAATCAGAAGCAAAATTCTTTTATTTGATTCTTGAATGTTTCAATGCGTTGAATGTTTTATTCTATATGATTGGGAAAGATTGACTGGTTTTGTTGTGCCAAGAATTCAATTTGTTAAGCTTTTTATGTGTTGTAATTGTTAACTATTGCAGCTTCTGATTTAGTTCAGAAATAAAAAAGAGAAATTATTATGAGTATCAACTCAAAAACTCTGCATCAAATTCTTTGGTTATAGGTTTCAAAGTGGATTTAGGTTGTTAGTGAGGAAACTTATGTCTGCAGCTCATGCAAAAATTCTATGTAATTGGACAGAATTTTGACATTGTTGATCAAGCAACATCCTTACATATTTTGTTTATTGGATTGCTGACCAAGAAATTATAAATTAATTCTATTAGGACTTCAGAGGGATTACTGTTTACTATTTGCAGTAGATTGTCTGGCAACAAATTATGGATTGATTCTTGGAGGCTAAGTTCTTGCTATGATGTAGTCAAAGCTAGACTGTCCACATGGCTTTAGCTCTTCAATTTGGATCTCTCTCTCTCTCTCTCTCTCTCTCTCTCTCTCTCCAGTTTTGCCTGTCATCTACAAAATGTAAACATGTAGAACTTAACTGTTCTTTGCACAGTTTTTGCAGGCCAATTTTGTTTTCCTGAAGGTTTAACTTCTATTACAGTGTTGAAGTTTCTTGTAGTCATCTGTGACAAAGGTTTCGCCAATCCCATCCTTAACTGGTGATAAATTTTCTGAGATATGTTCATCACGTTGGAAAGCTGATGCCAAACTCATAGCATGGACTCGCACCGGCTTTTCAGTTATGGTGTGACTGGTGCGGGCATATCCTACTCAACCTCCTATTCAACTGTTCCTTCAATACCTAATAGGCTGTTTAGTTCTTTGAAATCTGACATAGGAAACTCACCCAACTCGCCCTTTTGCACTCAATTTGATTTTGGTACCATTACCACATTGAGCGACAGCCTGGAGCAGCATAGCTCCACAGATAATCTTTCAGGACTCAGCCCTTCTTGTAACTCTTCACTTGAATCCAATACTTATTTCCATCGATTGAGTCCCTCTCTTGACTGCAGGCGTGAAAGCGTACCACTGTTTTCTGGAGGAACTTATATACAGGATGCAAATTCTAGCCACAAAATAATATACACTTTGCAGGAACTAGAGACTGCACTCATGGCACCTGATGAGGATGAAGTAACCACCCCAAATATTTCCTGTGGGGAAAGTAGTGGACCACACACAACAGACCAGAGATCTAGGGCATGGAGTCAGGAGCGCCAAGGATCTTTGGTGCTTCAGCCTCAGACCTCCTTTATCTCTAGGCATAGGCAGTCAACTGAAGTTGCTCAGGTTGAGAAACGTCAGAAAGCAATAGAGGATTTGTCTTTGCAGGGTATTCCGCCTGGCAATCTGAAGCAGTTGTTGATTGCATGTGCTAAAGCTCTCTCTGAAAACAAAATGGATGAATTTGACAAGTTGATTCTGAAGGCTAGAGCTGCTGTATCTATCCGTGGAGAACCAATCGAGCGTCTTGGTGCTTACATGGTGGAAGGGTTAGTAGCAAGGAAGGAGGCATCGGGGTCTATTATATATCGTAGCCTTCATTGCAGAGAGCCTGAAGGCAAGGACTTACTTTCCTACATGCAGATCCTGTATGAAATCTGTCCCTACTTGAAGTTTGGCTACATGGCAGCAAATGGGGCCATTGCTGAAGCATGCAGAACTGAAGATCGCATCCACATTATCGATTTCCAGATTGCTCAGGGAACACAATGGGTGACCCTCTTGCAAGCACTTGCATCCAGACCAGGTGGAGCTCCTCACATCCGGATTACAGGAATTGATGATCCTGTTTCTAATTATGCTCGTGGTGGTGGATTGGAAGCTGTTGAGAGACGTTTGGCAGCACTGTCCGAGAAGTTCAATATTCCAGTTGAGTTTCGTGGAGTGCCAGTTTTTGCACCAGATATCAAAAGGGACATGCTTGATGTCAGGCCTGGGGAGGCTCTGGCTGTCAACTTCCCTTTGCAGCTCCATCACACCCCTGATGAGAGTGTTGATGTGAACAATCCTAGGGATGAGCTTCTGCGAATGGTGAAGTCACTTTCTCCCAAGGTTACCACATTGGTAGAGCACGAATCAAACACAAACACAGCCCCTTTCCTCCCCAGGTTCATAGAGACTCTGGAGTACTATTTGGCAATGTTTGAATCCATAGACGAGACACTGCCAAGGGACCAAAAGGAGCGAATTAACATGGAGCAGCACTGCCTAGCCAGGGAAATTGTGAATGTCATTGCTTGTGAGGGAAAGGAGAGGGTGGAGCGCCATGAGCTCTTCGGTAAGTGGAAGTCTAGGCTAACAATGGCAGGATTCCGGCAATACCCTTTAAGCTCATATGTCAATTCCGTGATAAGAAGCCTGTTGAGGTATTACTCAAAACATTATACACTGGTGGAGAAGGATGGTGCTATGTTGTTGGGTTGGAAGGATAGGAACCTCATATCGGCTTCTGCTTGGCACTGTGGCAGCTGAGATACATGGAAAGGTAGTATAGAAATAATCAGTTCATTTTTTTATAGGCTACAGACATAGATAGTTTTGTCCTGTGGTACTGATGGATGATGACAATGTAGTAACAGCTGTCGGATTATATATTGAATGCTGTTGCATAACATACATATATAATCCAAAAGGGTGACATTTTCTGATAATTTTCCCATACCATTAGGCAGTCACCACTGTTTGTTGCGTAGATATCTCGTTCCTTATGTTCATTTTTTTCTTTGATAGGACTCGATGTACCATTTGATGCAGCTGTATAAGAATATTGAGGGATTCATTTTATTATGTTTTATCATTCAATGTATGTAACTCGACAGGATAGAGATAGAATACAGAATAACTTTTTATTCATTCTTTTCTTGCAATTGCTTCTCATCTGTTTATAATAGAGGATAAGTTACATTACACGAAAATGATACAAAAAATTGTGTTACGACATGTAGTTTTCGTATAAAATATTATATAAATACACGAATTATCAGGACATCAATATGCCAAAACTATATTTTGGCCATTGGATATTAAAAGCCAAAGGAAGAATCTGTGAGTAATTTTCAGCTGGAAAGAGTATACTTAGCCATTGGACTTTAACTTCCAAGTCACCCATATTGATGGCCAATCTTGGATCTAAAATGACTGGGCTAAGCAGACCTGGCCCAACCCATTTTGCAACAAAACACGTCTTTTGCCCTTAAGCCCCTAACCTATCAATTCTTTCTTTCCTGGTTAAGGGTGAGTAAATGATCGGTTCGATCGGTTTGATTTGAAAAAATTAATAATCGATTTAATCGATTTTCATTTAACAAATAATTGAATCGATCGAATATTATTAAATAACCGATCATAATTGAACCGATTAAAATCTGTTCGGTTTGATCGATTCGGTTAAATAATCGATTTTTTTTATCATTTTTCTTCTTATTATGAATAATTATTTAACCACAAATTCAATTCAATAAAATTCAAACTCTAGTATCATTCAAACTAAATTACTAAAGAATTTAATAATTTCAACAATATTTTACAAAAAATAAAAAAATAAAAATATTTATCTCAATTTTTTTTATTTTTAATTATTAAAAAGTCGATTAATTCGGTCAGTATAGTTATTAATTTTAAAAATCGAAAACCGATCGAATTAACCAATTTAATCGATTTAAAAAACTGATTATAACTAAAACCGAATAAATTAAATTGATTCAACCGAATTCACTCGATTTTAATCGATCTAATCGGTTCAAATCGACGTTTACTCACCCCTATTCCTGGTCACCTATAAAATGACAAAATAAAATATAATATAAAAATTAGATCCATTTTTATTTTAAAGAAACTTACAATGTTATTCTAAAGGTTCATAATTCATATTCAATAACCATTGAAAGAAAATCTGCATGCAGAATAATCTATACATATAGTATGATAGAAACTAAAAAAGTCCTCCAAATTTCTGTAGGTATTTTACTTATCTAGCATTCACACTAATTTTAACTCAAATCAATTCCTTTACCCACTGTTTATGGATCAAATTAATCAAATGGTTACCGGCTAGTTTCATAATTTAAATACTTTGTAACAGTGATGCTTTTCATCAAAGTCCAGCTTTTACCAATCCCAAAAAGAGTTGATGTAAACATCACCTGAAAAAAAAAAAAATCATTTAAAACTTAAAAATGCGTAAAACAACTCTATAGTAAAAAGAATTAACGCATTTTTTTTTTATCTCAAATCTCCGTGTTCAGTAATAATTTTGGGTTTCAATAAATTCAAAATTAAGTTGGATTAGATTTCATAAAAGATAAATTTTTTTTAAATTTATTTTTTTTGTTCACGATACTCGAATCAAAATTTTATTTAAAAGAAATCGAATTTTTTATCACTTAGATTAATAAACGTTGGTGAATTAATTTATAATTATGTTTTTTTCACTATTTTCCACGGGAAGATAGTGTATTTATTGGGAGTGTGAAACACACCGTAACACTATACAATGAATCGAAAATAATGCAAGCTATTATAACACATTTATAACTATGTTTTTTTCACTATTTTCTACGGAAAGATGGTGCGTTTATTGGGAGGGTGGAATGCACCGCAACACTGTAATGAATGGAAAATAATGCAAGCTATAATTGATTGACATGAGACACGGGAATAGACATACTACCCTCTCTTTAAAATTCAAAATAGGTAAAGTAATTTCAAACATGATAAAGTACGACCTGATACATTATCTTTTTCCAATGAACTAAAATAACTCTACATTTTCAGGATTTTAATTGCTAAGACAGCAAAAATTAACTTGTTTTTAATTGCCATAATGAGCTATTGATATGGCAAAGTTGATTAGAAAAACCAATTGAAAGCTTATTAATTCTTAATGATATGTTGTGAATAGGAAAAGTTACATCATAATTGTGGCAAAAAAAAAAAAATCATTTTGTACAAGATTAGCTCCAAAATTTCCTTGTAACTTTTGAAAAATCTGCGCTTGTAGTTTGAGCAATAGAAGGCATGTTTCCTCAGTCATCGAGGGTTACATGATACAATATGGGATATCAGAACAAGAGGCATACAATGAGTTTAACAAGAAAAAAAAAGATATAAATGAAGAGTTCATGAAATCATCAATAAAAACCAATGTCAATGCCAATGCCAATTATAATAACAAGTATTAAACAGCTAACATAATTCTTTAAACAGGGTGAATGATGCAGTTGAAGAGCATAAACAAAGACAAAAACCTTTTCAATTGTTGTTGTCAAAAAAAATGCTATCTCTCCTTAAACTAAGGATTGATTTGTCACATAATGAAAAATAAATGGTGCAATCAATAAAACAAATGTGACTTGGAATAATCTAGAGCTCCATGAGAACTAAATGTTGAAATTTGAATGGATTATTATTTTTATATATTGACAATGAATTTTTTTTTATAAATCTATAAAAAAAAAATTATACAATCGTCATATGTTTATTTAAATTATTAAACAATTTATATTTTAAAAAATATATCTTAAATGAACATTTGTCCATCTTTTAAATTTATTTGTATGATTTAAAAAATTCCATAAATAATATATTGGATAATAATCAACTTTGATTATCCTATTCCATCTAGAATTGAGCTTACATGAAATAGCTTTTGTGTATGGAATAATAATCCATGGTGATTTCCTTATTCCATTTAGAATTAATCTTACGTGAAATAGCTATTCTTTATTTTTATATAAACAAGGTTATAACTTGAGTAAAAAAAAAATTATAAGTGTTAAAATTCGAATTGATAACTTATTGAATGTCGTCGTTTATACGTAATTGCGTTCGGTAATTGAATTTAGGCTCGAGTTTCATATCACCAACCACCCTTATTTTATTCAAAAATTTCAATTTGACTAGTCTCCAGTTAATTGTTAGATTCCAATTTAGAGACTTAATTCAGTTATAGTCCAAGAGCTGAATTGATTGGTCTTGTTAAAACCAATGCCGCTAGATTATATATATACACACATTACCTCACGCCTGCCTGGATTGACAAGTGATTCAGCCATCATATTTGCCTCCCCTTTTGGCTTCATTCTTGAGACTAAAAAATTTTTTTTGAAGGACACACGTATACCATTGGAAGCAAATTCCGCAGCCAAAATCTCATTTTATTTTTGACTACATTATCATTATTTTATTTTTAACTTTTTTTGTTGTCGTCATTTTTTTTTATCAGATATTAAATCTATTAAATATTTAATTTTTTTAACGTATCAAATAATTATTATATCTGACATATTTAAAATTTAATACTTAATTTTTTAATATTGACACTATTGTGAAATAGGTATGCACGATAACACGTTCAGTTACTCTAAATAAAATATTTAAGCGTTGGAGCATTTGATTTTGATGCAAACTATTTTTTTATTTGAAATCATCGGCATTTTAATTTAAAACTCTAACATTGTACCACATGATGGTTGGCGATACAAACTTTTCCTTGTTCAAACAACGTGAACTTGAACTTTCCCATCCCTTGTTATTAAAAATTAAAACATTCAAAAAGAAGCTATTCACTCTATTGATATAATAGAAATAGAGTTGTTTGGTGAAAGTTTGCTTCTGAAATTTGCTGTCCTCTCTGTTTCTGTCTTCCAACGTGCATGCATTTGGGACGATCTTGGAACTCTCACGTTTAATCTTTTTTAAATCGTATCATTTTTATATTTTTTATATTATTTTTATTTCATCGTCCAAAACTCTCACGTTTAATCTTAAACTACCTCATCACAGCCTTAAAAAAAAGATTCGATCTAGGAAAATTTTGCATATGAATATCGTTGATAATTAGCCAAACAAACACTTGTATTATTTTGGAATTGGGTCCCAAATATACGACAACGAAGTCACATCTGCATTTGGCCACCATATGGAATTTATTAGAAAAATCTTGCTTGCATGGTTGGTTGGTTTACCTTTGAACATGGAAAATTAAAACATATCTCCCCTCCTCTCCAAGTAAACACTTTTCCACACTTGGATAAAGTTACACGAGAGAAAAAATTTTCTTGGCATGGGTAAACTTTTCAAAATTTTATAGTGGTTTGAATTAAGTTTGACTGGAAATTTTATTTTATTTTTATAAAATTATAAGTACAAAAAATTATAATATTTTAAAAATTGAATCCAAAGGTAATTTACATGTATTATCCCGTAATAATAGTATATTATTATTATTTTTATCAATTATCAAATGACGATTGTGTTCTTTAACTCGTTAATAAGGAGTAAATATTGTTACTTTCTTTTATTTGTATAGAGAGAGATTCAAGTTCTATTTTTTTAATGAAAACTTGTCATTGATGTTTTCAAAGAAAATAATTTCAAACAGTCAAATACATGTTGATAAATTAAAATATAATATAATAATACAATATAAATATAATATGAATATAAGATGTGAAAGTGATATAATGTAAAATTTTAGTAATAATTATATCTAAATTTAATAAAATAAAAAAATATATTTTATATTTTAATGTCGATATATGATATATAATTTTTATATAAAATATGATATAAATATATGAATTTTAATATTTTATGTAATATAAATACATAAATTATAAAAATTATTTACTATAAGCAAAAGTTGGTTATAAAGGCTGCTAATCGTTGAAGATCACTTAAATTCTGTTTAAAGAAAACGAAACTTGCACCAAAAATTCTGTTGAAGAAAAACACATACATTTGTACCACATTCTGAATACCATTTACTAGTGTTTGCAGGAATCAATTTGGAAAAAAAAGAAAATTTCAAAATGACTTTTCTCTCCATTTATTGCATTCCTCTTCTTCAATGGACCTTACATCACGTTTTTTTTTTTGTTATAATGTGTTCAGTTTAAGTTCTCTTTTTGGGACTTTAATGTCTCGTACCTATAAATTCATGCACCAATTGCGTTCTTAGCCACACACAAGTTTGTGCTACTTTAACCCTTGAATATTTGCTTCCAACACTAAGATTCCCATCAAGAGAAATGGCTTCACAGGTTTCTCAAATTCTTCCTTCACCCCATGATGTTATTTCCTCCAATATGGAAAATCGTCCCAAGGCCGATTTTCATCCTGGCATTTGGGGAGATGTGTTCCTCAATTGTCCTGAGAAGGTATATATAAATCAATATTCAGTATCAGATCCAAGAAAGTGTATATATATATATATAAATTATCGATGTATTTATCAATTTTATCGATGAAAATTATATTCAGCAAAAATATTTTCTTTAAATTTTTTTATTTTTCAATTTTTGAATGTGTTTGAACATTTTAATTCAAAGGATAAATTTATCCCTCTCAATATTGAATTATTATTTCCTTTCCTTATTTATAGGGTTGTTTAATAATAAGGAAATTTTCATTCTTGTGCAGGATATTGATGCTACAACTGAACTACAACATGAAGGATTGAAAGAAGAAGTGAGGAGGATGCTTGTGGCACCTATGGATTCAAACCAAAGGTTGCCCCTTATCGATGCAGTCCAAAGGTTGGGCGTGAGCTACCATTTTGAAAAAGAGATTGAAGATGCCTTAGAAGCTATATACCATGACAGCAATGATGTTGAGAATGATCTCTACACTACAGCTCTTCGATTTCGATTACTTAGAGAGCATGGTTTTGATGTCTCATGTGGTAATTAAGGCTTAAATTTTAGTTACTCTTAATACATTCAATATCATATGATTATAGGACCTGCGTTGTATTTTTCAATTTCATAAGAGAATTGATTATAAGATTAATATGTGTTTATCTAAGGTATATATATTTAACCATCGTATAGCAATTATATAAATTTGTTTACAGAATAATAATTCATTAATATATACGTAACGTATGTGTGTATGTGTGTGTATATATATTAATGAGTTTGGGTGATTGAGCAGAGGCATTCAAAAAGTTCAAAGATGAGGAAGGAAATTTCAAGTCATCCGTGACGAGTGATGTGCGAGGATTGTTGGAACTTTACGAAGCTTCCTATATGCGAGTGCATGGGGAGGATATACTAGATGAAGCAATTTCTTTCGCCACCACTCACCTAACTCTTGCAGCACCAACTTTAGACTATCCTTTGTCAGAACAGGTGGCTCATGCCTTAAAGCAGTCAATCCGAAGAGGCTTACCAAGGGTCGAGGCTAGGCGATTCATTTCCATATACCAAGATGATCAATCGCATATTAAACCATTGCTGGAGTTCGCAAAGATAGACTTTAACTTGGTACAACTTTTGCACAGGAAAGAGCTCAGTGAAATCTGTAGGTAAGTCTTTAATTTAGTACCTTACTCTTTTGGTTTTGTACAGATGAGATCGCAGTCTGAAGATAAGGAAAGGGATTGCAAGTGTTTGGAATTCGAAACCTACACTTGCTGGATGCCTCCTTGACTTACTCTTTGAATAGTTTTCACTTACTCCATTTATCTGAAGGTTATAATATTGAGCTAATGGGGGGTATATGATGCTTTTTAGGTGGTGGAAAGATTTGGACTTTACAAGAAAGCTACCATTTGCAAGAGATAGAGTGGTTGAAGGTTATTTTTGGATAATGGGAGTGTACTTTGAGCTCCAATACTCTCTTGGAAGAAAGATGTTGACAAAAGTAATAGCCATGGCATCGATTGTAGATGATACATATGATTCATATGGAACATATGATGAGCTGATTACATATACAGATGCAATTGAGAGGTAATTAGATACATATATAAACTGTAAACATCGATTTTGAACTTTGGATTTTGAAGTATAGATATGATCAATAGACTAATAACCTTAAATTGTGTTTCAGGTGGGATATGAAATGCATGGATCAACTTCCGGAATACATGAAAATAAGCTATAAGGCATTGTTAGATGTTTATGAAGAAATGGAACAACTATTGGCAGAGCAAGGGAGACAATACCGTGTTGAATATGCAAAAAAGGCGGTATGTTGACGATGAACATGACACATGAGTAACACCATATGTCTTTTAGGCTAAAAGCCTCCAATCTAATCACACCAGCGGAAGCGAAATCAAACAATAAATCAAACACACAAGAGATAATAATTTAACGTGGTTCGGTCCAATCAACCTACGTCTACGGATGAGAAACAAGATCCACTAGTTGTAGAGAATTACAAACATACATCAAATCATCAACCTCACTCAACAATCAATACTCATAAAATACTCTTAGTTTCCTCTAGTCCTATGAAGTATTCTCAACCCAAATAAACACAAATTCAAACCCTTGTGCACCATTTCAACATAACCAAATACATACCCATATGCTCCCATACATCATATCTATGTGGACCCTCTCAGTCTTCTCTAGTCCATTCACAAATAAACATACACACCCATAAGACGTAAAGCCCCAATACTCTTATTGGGTATCTATCCCACAAAACCCTATAACTCTCTTACATCTTTTTCTAATATCTAATCATGTAGAGACTTCACCTATTTATAACCATACAAATTTGCCCATTAAGAATCCTTCATTTTTTATTATATTTTATTTTTTATTATTAATTATTAATAATATTTATTATTAATTATTATTAATATTTTCTATTTTTATATGTTATTTTTCCTTGTTATTTTCTCTGTTTTTTTATCTTATTTTATGTTATTTTTATTTAATACACATAGAAATTAGAAGAATACAAAAAAAATATTGATTTTTATCAATCTCACGAACAAGATCCAAGAATAAGGTTAGTTGATGGAGGGAGAGGGGTAGATCTGGGGATCAACCAGTAGCGAGAGAAGGGGTCGCTTCTTCCTTGAATTGAACAGTTCGTTCAAAAAATTCATCTATCTGATTGATGAGCCATAAGACAATTCATGGTTCAGGTTCAGACGACTAGTAAAAATAGGAAAGAATAAACGAATTGAGTTCATGGATTTACCTAAGTCAGGTTATGGACCAATACAAGAAAATATTTTTTTATATTCGAAACCAATTAATTATAAGGGGCAGTGCACGAGAAATCAAATCATACATAAAAAATCGAATCCCCGAACGCCCCCATAACATAAGGTGTTCTTAGAATTCTTCTCCTGTAAGTCAAACTTACTTATTAAGAATCCATTTTCTTTTAGAATTCTTTTCTTACAAGTCAAACTTACTTATTAAGAATTCTTTTTCTCTTAGAATTCTTTTTTTGTAAGTCTTCTTGTCCATCAAGCAATATCTGATAAATCTCAAACAAATCTCAAACAAATCTTAAACAAATCTCTTATAGGATTTGAGTCAATATTTCCAACAATGTCATCACCAAATTAATACTCAATTTGGTTTGATAATAGTTGTTATTTGTGAAATATTATTAAATAGTTGTTGGATTTGGATGCCTCAGATGATACGACTTGCTCAAGCTTACCTTCTAGAGGCCAAGTGGACGCATCAAAACTACAAACCAACATTCGAGGAGTTTAGGGCTAATGCATTGCCAACCTCTGGCTATGCCATGCTTGCTATCACAGCTTTCGTCGGCATGGGAGATGTTATAACCCCAGAGACCTTTAATTGGGCAGCCAATGACCCTAAGATCATCAAAGCATCCACCATAATTTGCAGGTTCATGGATGACATTGCTGAACACAAGGTATACTTCAAATCTCAGCATTTATAATTCTTTTTCGTATTTTCACGCAACGATCTCCTTTATACAAAAAAAAAAAAAATTGCATTCTAATTGTTAATAACGAATCAAAAAATAATTTTACCTAGATTTGAAACAAATAAAAGATTTGGTCTTTACAAGAGCAATAGGATAGAAGTTTAGTCCTATATCAAGCAATTAACCTGATTTTTTTTACGGCTGCAGTTCAACCATAGGAGGGAAGACGATTGCTCAGCCATCGAGTGTTACATGGAACAATACGGTGTATCAGCACAAGAGGCATACGATGAATTCAACAAGCACATCGAGAGTTCCTGGAAGGATGTAAATGAAGAGTTCGTGAAACCAACAGAAATGCCAATACCAGTTCTCAATCGTAGTCTCAACCTTGCAAGGGTGATGGATGTGCTTTACAGAGAGGGAGATGGTTACACGCATGTTGGAAAAGCTGCAAAAAGTGGGATCACATCTTTGCTGATTGATCCAATCCCACTTTGAATCACCTCTTCGAGTAGCTGCAGGTTCCTTAAGGAACAAAATTAATAAAGGAAGAGTGATCGTTGATAGCTTTTTTTTTTTTTTTTAATTAAGAAATGCCAAAAGCAACATTCTTTGTGCTTCAGCTTATTTATTCATAAATATTTGATAAATATCAAATTTATAATTTTTTAAATTTATTAATTAATGAGGTTACGGACATGTTGACGTTTTATATAATTATAAAATTTCAAGCTCTAAATAATCTCGTCTGAATCCGAAGTTTCAAGTCAACAGCTATCTTTATTCCACGTGTCATCCCTTCCAAACAATGAATAAATCACGCTCCACGTGTCAGAATCGCACACAAGTCATAAACTGAAGACACATGGAATTTCTCTATATATATATATAAAAGTTCCTACCTCTTCAGGAAAATTAACTAGAAAAACAAACACAAACCAGTTATATGTGGCTACCTCGCCAGGATCAGATCTCAGTAGCCATGGCTCTTCACTAGGTTCACCCTTACTTCCTCCATTCAAAGAGCCCGGATGGGAATCCGGACACGTATCTGGACCAGAGAAGCTTTGCATAGACGACATGTTACGAAAATATTGCGGAAATGTTGGGTCCTGGAAATTGAGACACTTTGTTTTAACATGCCTGGCATGGGCCCTGGAAGCTTTCCACACCATGGTCATGATATTTGCAGACCAGGAACCTGCTTGGCGGTGTATAAAAGGGTCAGGGTCAAGGTGCAATGAGAAGGAGGGCAGTGTTTGTGGGCTTGAACCGTGGTCCTGGAAATGGAAGGGCGGTTAAGGAAGCTCCACTGTGGCTCAATGGGGATTGGTTTGTGCGAAGAAGTATAAGGTTGGACTTGTTCAGGCCGTGTTTTTTGGTGGCTGCATGATTGGTGAGTTGTTTCCAGCTGATCTTTCTCTTTGGTTCTTATATATATATAGAAGATATATATAAAGCAGGGAAAGAGATTTTGGTTGTTCTTTCTATGAATCAGATTGCTGTTTGCCATTTAAAGCTTCTCTTATCATGGACACATGCATGTTGAGAAATAGAAAATTGGAAAATTTTAAGACATGTTGCTGATTATGGTCAAAGTGTAGCTTGATCTAAAATGGACAAAGTAGCAGGATTGGAGTACATGAGTTAAGTGTCTAGTGATATTTGGACAAGGATCAGTAGAGCTTTAGAATTATAATCTTCGAAAAATCAAAAAATAAATCATTTTCTTTATGTTGATTTGCTAAAACACATTTCTGGATGAATATTTATGATTTTTTCTCATTTAGTTGTTGCTAAAATTAGCCCTCGATTTAAATTTTAGTATGCATTTTTTATTTTCTTCTTTTCTTTGACGTTTACCTGCAAATGCAAGTGAAAACCCAAATGATATCTTTGCCTTTGTTCAATTTGTGAGACTATTTACCTTCTGCTTAATGTGAAATCAAGCAAATCTAATCGAAAAGCTTTTGATATTTTGGTTATTTGATAGGCATTTTCGAGACGGAAAAAAGGGAAATTTTCATGATCAATTACTGGACCATGGAATCATTTCTTGATGTTTATAATGTTTTGTTCCTTTTAAGCACATTATATATATATATATATATATATATATATATCTTCTGTCTATACATCATCTACTCGTTTAAGTTAATGAGTGATCCAGCACCATAAGCCAGCTCTCCTTCTGGAATGTTTCAAGTCATGATTATTGTACCATGGATCAGTGTAAAGAATTACTCAACATTGATACATTTAGTAAAAGAACTTATTACTTTGTTGTAAGAGATTTCAGATGATTGAATTCATGACCAAAATTCAATTTTCAAGATATTTTCAGGAGTATTTGGTCATCTATCAGACTCAAAACTGGGAAGAAAAAGGTTCCTTAACAGCAGTTTGCATCTTAAATGCCTTCTTTGGTTGCCTTACATCATTAACCCCAGACTACTTCGCTTCCTAACGGGCTTCAGCACTGGAGGCGTTGGCCTCTGCTCCTTTGTCTTGGCCACTGAACCTGTTGGCCCAACAAAGCGTGGTGCTGCTGGAATGTCCACATTCTACTTCTTTTCAGCTGGAATAGCATTACTCTCAGGCATAGCCTACATTTTTCCTTCGTGGCATGCTCTTTATATTGCCTCATCAATTCCCTCTATCCTTTTCCTTGTTCTGGTTATTCCTTTTATCTGAGTCCCCACGTTGTTACCTTGTTCGTAGGAAAATGGACGAAGCAATGAAAATTATGCGCACTGTAGCTAAGTCTAATGGACATCATCTTCCTGATAGGGTTATCCTTGCATTGGATGATGAAGCTAATGATCCTTCAAATGATAACCAAAGTTGCAAAGAAGCAATCACTGGTTCTCTTATAGATGTAGTCCAATCACCAATTACTCGAATTCGACTAGTTCTAGCTGTGGGAATCAATTTCACATGCTCAGTTGTGTACTATGGCCTTAGCTTAAATGTTGTCAACCTTGACACAAACCTTTACCTCAATGTGCTCCTTAATGGTGTAGCTGAAATGCCAGCATTCACCATAACAGCACTTCTGTTGGATAAATTGGGAAGGAAGCCATTGGCAATTGGGACACAACAGTTCAGTGCAATCTTTTGTTTTAAGGGCATCGTGATGGGAAACGTTGGAATATGGAAAATAATAAGAATGTTTTGTGCGATTTTGGGGATATTTGGCATGGCTGGAACTTATAATCTGTTGTTCATCTACACAACAGAGCTCTTTCATACGGTGGTGAGAAATGCAGCCCTTGGATGTGCAACTCGGGCAGCTCAAATGGGAGCTATTTTGGCACCATTTGTTGTGGCTTTCAGTGGTGGCTTTCCATTTGTAGTGTTTGAGGCATATGAATTGATTGGAGGGATGCTCGCATATTACTTACCCGAGACACTAAACAAGCCATTGTATGACACAATGACTGGAATGGAAGAGGAGGAGAGTGCTTGAAAATATTATTTGTTACCATTTTCAATTTTTGTCACAGATTCATTACAATATTGAGCATGTAAAAGTTCACATAATGGGATTTTCGCTGGTTTTTTTTATTATTCATTGACATCGAACAGCTGCTAATCTATGCAACAGAATCAGAATGACCAAAATTTTCAGTAAGTCAAGCAGATGTTCCCATTGCCGATTCCCTTTCTTTGCCAAAACCAAATACACAAAACCTGATTTCTTCCATTTTCCACTAAGGCTTCATGTGAATGCGTTGAGAGGGGTACAATCATAAAACGATATCCACAACGTGGCGAGAGACTAGGCATGGTGAAAATCCCTCCAACCATATCCAAAGGGCCATAAGACAATTGCTCTATTTCATTGCAATACTTGAAATTTTACAAGAACTCTTATTCCTATTAATATGTATACTACGACACCTTTGATCCATTGAATAAAAGATTTATCAAAATATGAAAGGAGTAGGAGAAAACGCTGGAATGACAACCGGCAATGGATTTCGCCTGCAAATTTCAGCAAAACAAGTGTTCAGTTCAACTTGAATTTTTTTACTAAAAACCAAACATGATATATTGTTCATATGATGTTGTGTATGTATGTAAGCAAATAATAATATTCAAACAACATTGAATGATTGACAGTCCAGGGCCCAATGGATAAGGCGTCTACAGAACCAGAGATTCTAAGATCGATCCCTCAGGGTCGGTCGTGAATAGATGCACAAATAAAAATTCAGTTACCCCATATCGTCGCTACAGCTTCGAACATGAACTTTGGAGCGTGACCCTGCGGTGCTCTTCCTCTTCACCACCCTATCCGCAGGTGTTTTCTCCCTCTTCTCCACAATAAAGTTATCCTCTGAGATCACAAACAACGAGGGCTTCCACTCTGGAGTCATAGACCCTGGTGTACCAACCCTTACTTTCATCTTCTTCTTACTTAGTGCTGCCACTTTTGGAGGCATCAAAGGCCTTGTCACCTCCCTCCTTGGAGGTGTCACCGCCGTAACCACCTCTTCGTCTGTTGCCACTTCGGGAGTTGTAACACAGCATGACACAAACTCCAAAAAAGATCTCATGGCTAGCTATAACTTTTATAAATTAACGAATGAAAAATTTTAACTATCTATATCTGTAATTATATAGTTCTGTGAGCAACTAAAGGAAACAAAGAATAAGATTGAGAAGATTTAGAGTAGGAGCTATGTAAGTTTCATCGTTATTTTAGTTTCTTTTGAATGTTAAAGATGTTAATTGTGTGGGTCTATTTTTATAGTGTTCATGGATTGAAAATGAATGGTTTTGGATTTATACGTAAAAGTGTAGTGGAAGATTACTCATGGTTTCATATGGGTTTCATTAAGTGACTGTTTGAATTCAACGCATTTTTTGTGCGGTGTAATTGAATCCACTTCATCATCAATTGAATTCAAATATTAATTTCAGTGAGATTTATTCGGTATAAATTTTCATTCAAAATTTTTTTAATCTCAATTATAGTAACTTTTTTTTTATTACAATTACAATAATTTTATTATTATTTTTAATCTCATCACAGTTAATCTTACTGTCTATCCAAATGAAGTCTAAGCATTCATGAATTTATAATATTTTTGAATTTAATTCATTGTAAATATATATTTATTGTATTTTGTATATTTAAAATTTGAGTTAAAATTTATATTTACTATATTTCAATATTCATGAATTTCGTCATTTATGAATCTATGGTATCAATTAATTTAATTAACTATGAATGAATGATTTTTAATTTTTCATAAACTTAGGCATTTGTGAATTTATGATTTTCATAAATTCAATTAATGGATAAATGCACTTCTTATTTTATGACATTTAAATTTTGGGTTTAGATGTATATTTACTATTATCAATCAAATTCAAATTAAACGAATCTAACTATTTACGAATTTAATCATTTGTGAATCCAATTAATTGTAGATAAATATAATTAATATTTAATATAATTTAAGTTTAACATATTTATTAAATAATATAAATACACATGATCATTTATGCGAGTTTTTCATATTATTTTTTAATCATATTGTTTGAATAATTATGATGGAATTAAACATACTTAACATTATTATTTGTAATTTATAAATTTATAGTATAAATGTTATGAAAAAGTACTTTCTATGTTTCATTTTTAATATTGATTTTTTACTAATTAAAAAGATGTATATTAGATAGACCGATATTTTTAAAGATAAAAACCGTAATTTGGATATAAAAAAAGATTGCATATATTAAAATTTGAACTCTTGAACAACATCATTTAAGAGTGTTTGCGTAAATTAGACTAAGTTTCGATTCTTTTAGAAGTATAGTTATAGTCACATGACCAAACAACTTTAGACTTACTTACATAAGCTTATTTGTATATTTTGACTAAATTTTCAATTTCAAAGATCGATAGAATTAATTACAAATATTAAAATTAAAATTAAAATATATTAAATATTATTTTTAAAAAATAATTATATAAATTTACTGAATTAAATCTTCGTTCGATCATAAGTTTAATTATAATTACATTACCAACTGCTTTAAACTTATGTAAGGTTATTTATATACCCTGACCACACTCTTAACTTGAGAGGCTAAGCTCTATTATAGCCCCAAAAATTTCTACTTTTTAGAATAGTTGATTATATTTTATTATTTAAATCTCTTAAAATTGAAATGATTAATTTATTATTACCTAATAAATTTGCATTTAAATTGTTTAAATTTAACTCAAACTTGACATTTAAGTTGAGTATAAGTACTTCACTATTAATTTAATTCCTACCTAAAAGTCCACTTGCAACAATGATTTGTGAACTGAAGAGGGTTTTATTTTAATGATACGTGAAAGTTTCCTTCTTTTTTTTTTTTTTCAAAATGAATACCATTGACATTTTGCAATTATTATGATTATAATTAAAATTAAATATAAATAATTAATTTTGGAAATCAAGTTGAATTATCAAGTTGTCGAACAAATTATAATGTTTATTTAAAATTGATTGATGAATTTCTTCTTCATTGCATGAGAACCATGAATAATTTATTGATACAAGAGGTGTTTATCGGTCGGATCAAATTGAATTCAGGTTATATTTATATTTGATATTAATAATTTATATATTTATTTAAGTCTGGTTTGACTTAAAATTTAAAATTTCAAGGTTTAAATTAAAATAAATTTTAAATATACCCATTAAGTCTAATTTTATAAGTTTAATGATATTATATTCAATTTATATATATATATAAATTAAAAACAAAAATTATATATATTTTATAAAATATAATTTACATATATATATAAATAAATAATATAAATGTGAATTAAGATCAGGTTGAATCAGATTCAAGTTTTAAATTTTTTGTCAAATTCTCAATTCAAAACTAAAAAAATCTAAAAATTATATTCAAATTAATTTAATCGATTTTAATTTTTGTCCTTCTCTATCAAAAATTGAGTGGACCTTCAGGTTTAGGCTGAGTAATCTAACCCTTGAACAAACACAACCACTTATCACAAATAATAATAATAATAATAATAATAATAATAAAGTGAAAGGAATTAATTCTATTGCGTATGCAGAAATCCACATTTCTAACAGAATTAAATTCTTGATATCTGTTTTTCTCTCTGGAGAATTCTTTCTTTTGCTGATTCAACACCCAAAGAAAACAACTGGTCAAGAACCAGGATTAACCCTTTGAATTTGACAACACCAAAGAGTCTTTGATCGATGCACTGAAAATGCTAAACAATAAAGCTGTTTAAAAACGATGTCGCTTTAAATTTTGTCACCAGGCATATATATCCTCCACAACCCAAAATTTCCATCAAATTCCATAACCACCTGTTTGTCTGATAGAGATGACAAGGTTTTAAAAATATCAAAGTGTTCAGTTATTTTCAATGAAGATTATAAAATTCTGTTCACTTGCTTGGGAAAAAAGGCAATAGTGCCGTATAATCATTGGCTAGCTGAGAAATAATGTGCATGGGAAAAGAATTGGCAAGTTCCCAGCCAGGCTATACCTATATTGCTTCAACTCTTTATTTTCTTGAAGTACTTATATCCAATAAATATCATTATAAAGATTTATTTTTTCACCAACATCTGCTGGTTTGAGTGATTAGGAGTTTGATTCTTTTTAAAAAAAATTTCGATTTCGAATATTGTGAATGAAAAAAATAGATATTGAAAGAGCTTTTTTTTTTATGAGATCTAATCTGATTACTTTTGGATTACTTTTGGATTAGATGCTTAGCAGTACTCATGTTAGACATATATCTAGATCAACACTCACCCATGTGTCCGAGTAATACGGCATAATTTTTTTTTTATTTTTATGCAATTAATGTTACAAAATGCAGATAAACTATCTGCATAGAAATCAGTATGCAGTCGCTGTTTTCAGCTTCATCTAGACGATTATTGTCATGTTTTATCAAATGATTTTGTCTAGTAGCCTCCATAGAAGGCAAATTGTTTTATCAATTACATAATTTTGATGGTGACAGTTTTCTATTAGTTGTAGTGTTATTGTCAAGTTTTAAAGATCATAAGATATTTGAACTCGAAATTTACTTTAATTAACTTACGCATTAATACACAATTCCGAATTGTTAAGATTCAATCATAAGACGCAATGAAAAAACTCACAAATAGAGCCTTAATCAACAGGCTTTCAATCTGTTTCAATGCAATGACTTTTCCATTGAAGATACGGCTAAACAAATGGCACTGCTTGCTTCATTTCATCTCAAATGCAAAAATGGTTCATAATGTCTTCTCTTACTATTTTACCTAATATTGGCATCAAAACTTAAATAAGAGTAATTTTAAGGCTTTATTTTTGTAAATTAAATTCATAGCAAAAATATGCAATGAGGTAGAAACCAACATCATGAGAAGTATCAAATAATGCAACGAGTTCTCAATCGACATGAGAGTCCATGAAAAATAATTCAAAGGATTCCACCTTGGGTTTTGTTTTTACTTAAATCCTGTGTAATAAGCCTCAGTCCATCTAATGTCTATTGCATTTAAGTTCAAGTCTAATATTACAAACTTCAGATTAATTTCCCTTTTCATTGTAAACCCGTCTCCGACCATGATCAATAAGTGACAAAGCATGTTCCCAAACCATTCGGGTCATTCACGGGCATACGAATTATAGCCATTTGAATTAGTCATGTTCTGTGGTGGAGGGCGTTCTGGCCGAGGTCTTGCATACTCTGCAAATATAACCCAGCCATCGAGGAACTGCAAAAAAAAAAAAAAAAAAGGAAATAATTTACCAGTAACACAATCTGAGGGAGGGAGGGAGAGAATGTGGTTAAATTACTTTCTCCAATCTACCATGGTGCTTTAAAAACAAAACAAAATAAAACAACAGCAAAGCATGGTTCAATGATGTAACCGGTTTACAACAGTACTTAAACATCTGGTTTACAAAAGTAATTTCAAAAATATTTTAAGGGTGCAGCTGGCAAAGCACTGTGTTCATCTCCTAACCATCTTTGAACTATATTAAGCATCGGTGATGATTACTCAGGCAATAGATCAATGATCTATTATGGCAAGAATTGTTAGCCGGAAAAGGCTTTTGCTATAGGAAAAATATATAGATAATACAAAAGAACATGCTGAATGCCAATGCCAGCTGGTATGAAAGTGTGAGAGAATGAAACCTAAAGATGTGACCCAAACTGTTACAGCACAGTTGGGTGCACGGAATCAGGCAAGCAAGTTTTAAAATATTATAATCTTAACACTTCAAATCAAAACAGAAAGCATCCCAAACCCTGGAATTGAAAAAATGAACGCATAAAAATTCCTCAAGGAAATGAACAACATTAAGGAACTAGAGGGATCTCACCTTGCCATCCATTCCCACCCTTCCTTTTTCAGCCTCCTCTATGCTGGCATATCTTACAAAACCAAATCCCTTAGAATATCCTGTTACTCTATCGGTAACCACTCTAGCTGTAAACACAAAAAAGGCTAATGGGTTATTAATCTCAAAAAGACAGTTTTCAACAATCTTTTAGATAAGGGAGACAAACCATCAACAACTTGTCCAAACTGAGAAAAGGCTTCTCGAAGTTTCTCTGAAGGAGTACGTTTGTTAAGCCCTAAAAACAAATTCAAATAATAAATTATATCATAATATGAACCAAGAAAGGTAAAAAAGTGACCCCAGTCAACATAAATAATTAAACAAGTTTGCAGAAATCCAATTACAAGTATAAACCCAGACAGAGAGAGCAAGGCCTTTAAACCAAATTATTAATGCTAAATCTATTATAGGTTGATGAAATGCCCTACAATGCCATCCTAGACATAAGAAAACAAAAACCAAAACTAGAGGGCTAAAAGAGACAATATTTATAGTGACAGTGTTTTCCAGAAAAGCAAACTTGATATTTCAGTTCAATGCAATGCCCCTAATACTATAGTTGAAAAATAAATAAAACCAAATCCCAAATGCAGAGAAACCAAAATGCTGCACGCAAAAACTCAACATAACACCAATTCCAAAACAATTAATGCTGCCTGAGCCAATTCTTCTCCTCAATTCCACTTAGTCAGAATATTTACTCTGGCAGCAAGAGTAAGCAAAATGCAACAAGAATGGAAGGATGGGGAAAGGAGGTGGAACAAATGAGAATGTTAAATTGTGAAAATCTGACATGGAACACAAAGACATGTAAATGTAGAATCAGAACAAGATATAGTGAGAAAATGAATGAATATAAAATAAGAGCAAAAGTTATCATGAAATGAAGAGAAGAAGAAAACCGTCAACAAATTAAGAGTTTGCATGGAGAGACTAACATCCTGCCTAGCATCTATGCTTGTTCCACTTTATTAATATACAAATCATCTGAAACCTAACATCTTAGCCCCTTGTGCCATGTCTTCCATACAAGTATCATCTATCTCATATCCTTCTAACAGTGCAAGGTCAAAAAACACATTTTTAAGCATACTGACTTGCATAACAATAAGATTAAACATGGAAGGAACTTAAAATGTTTAGCCCGTCAAATAAAAGGGATGAAAAGCACCAACATTGGATACAGGGTATTCTACACATTAAATGTTTAGTGGATGAACAAAATGGTAATTAGCATAAAGGTAATGTATCACAACCCTCTCAAATACAGGTCAGATCCATGAATGTGAGGGGGTCATGACATACAAAATTTGGACTCAATGATAGGTTACATCAATTTGTAAATGGCTAAGCCTTTAAAAGCTTTAATATCTTACAAGAATACAGCTCTCATTTTCACTTATAAACTTTGTAGAGTAATCAACGAAAAGAAATAGCCACCAAAAGAAGCACAAGAAACTGAAACTCTATGAACTTTACAATCGATTACATGAACTTATAGCAAATGAACTTTTCATACTCTCTAATTGCTTTGACTCTTAGGCATATGTATATTAAGTTTTGTGCACTGTGACAACCAAATGAGTTGAAAAAATTCATTTGTACCTTCTTAATTACCAAAAAGTTTGCAATCCCCTAGTCCTTCCTTTTCTTTCCTTCTTCAAAGAAAGGTGCTACTTGCACTTTCATATTTGCTACGTACTCACACTATCCTTACTTCAATAACAATGCATTTCACTTTGCATATGAAATTCATACTTCTTAAACTAAAGTTCATTATTTTTTGCTTCACATCAAAAGAAAGCCACCAAATAACAAATTAGAAAGCGCAAATATCATATGTTTATTTTCCTTCTTTAAATGAATTAAAGAGATAGACAATATCAATCACAACATGGGTTTCATTTCTTGACCAGTTAATCAAACCAAAGCAAAAGAAAAAACTTTCTTCCACTTTCCAGCAATCAAACACGGCATGTTAACCCAATAGATAGCATATAAGTAAAATTTTTAATAACCAAGAAAAGAATAGGACCAGTTAAAGGAAAAAAAAAACACAGTTTTTCTTCATTTTCACATGTTTCCCACACTTTCCCGGCAATCGAACGAGCAAAACAACCCATAAATAAAAATATAACCAAAATCTACCGATAACCCAGAAAAGAACAGGACCAATTAAATCAAACCCGTTAAAAGAAACAACTTTTCTTCTATTTTCCCACAATTTCCCAGCAACCAAACCAATAAACCAACATATAAACAAGACCAAAAAAAAAATCCCACGAAAGAAATAAGAAAACATGAAATCTATGATGGCTATAGATGGAAAAGAAAAGATACGTGCCGGAGACAAAGAGGTTGGTACTTGGAGGAGCTTGCTCTCGACCAGGGGTTCCCTCACCGTTCCCCATTGCCGCAATTGGAGGCGGCATAAAGGAATTAGGTGAAGTTGTCGAGAACAGCCGCATCATCCCCCGTGGAGCCGCCCGAGCAGCCATCACAGCCGTCGCCGCCACTCTCAAAGCCATCAGGTTGATATTAGTGGGAAATCAGGGTTTAAGGTTCCAAGCCTAAAACCTTACTGTGGTGTGAGAAAAGGGCAAAATTGCAATGGGCTTAATAAAAGAAAGGATCTTGTGAAATTACCAGTTGGGCTTATGTTAGATGATATGAAATTTAATAATTTTGGAAAGTATTAATTAGAAAGACAAAAATGCCCCTTAAGGAAGGAGAGCATGGTATGTCACGATGTACAAATCACCTTTATTTAGCATTTGATATCATTTTTTAAATCAGAATGGTAATTTAAATATTAAAGTGATTTTATTATTTGTGATTTGAAATATTTTTTATTAATAATTATTAATTTTTAGAAATTAAAAATTATTTTTTAAATTTTTTAAAAAATCAAATATTTTGTTTAAAATTATCAAAATAATCATGTATATTATAATAGTTACACAAATTAATGATATTAATATTGTTTAAAGATAATAATTTATAAAATATTAATATTATTTTATTTATTATAATAAAATATAATTAAATTATTAAATTAATAAATATATTTATTGATAGGTAAATAATTTTTTAATATAAATTATATAAAAAATATTTAAATTAAAAAATAAAATTAATCTATTAGAATCATTAAAAAGAAATAAAAAATTATATTTTATATAAAAATTTATTTAAATTAAAAATAAAAGTTGGTCTTTGCTCTTTCACAAGCCCTATTGAAAATTTTTCATGGCTATTCAGTTTTGTAGGTTTACAAAATTCTTGTTGCAACACTGCTTTTGCACGAAGCTTCATCGAAATTGCCACTCGGTAATACTCATTTGTGATTTTGAGACAGAAAAATAGCAGTAAAGATGGTTAAATACCGAGTATTTATAATTTGATTTTAATCAAATTAATTTAATCTAATTAATAATTTTAAAAAAATTATTTTTTATTAATTCAGATAAAAAATTAAATTAATTAAATTAATCAAAATTTTAACCAATATGTAATAAAATTCAAATATAAAATAAAATAAATCATTTTACTTTATAAGTTGATGAAATTTTTAACATAATAATTTAATATTTGAATATTTTATTAGATAATTTTATTTAATTTATTTAAAATATTAAAAATTAAAATCGTATTTGATACATAAGATAATAGATATAATAATATAATAATCATTTTATATTATATATGATTAAAATGGATAGACTTATAAGAAAAATTATAATCATTTTATATTATATTGATTTATAAGATAGAGTTTGTAATAGAGTTTGTAAGATCGGCAAATTCACATAATTTTACTCTAAGGTCGTTTCAGAAGCACAACCATGATAACCATCACTGCCAATCCCATCATGCTAGCTGCGATTGTCTTGTCAAAATTGTTTGATCCAGCATTTTCTTTCGAGTTTTCAGCAGGGGGTGGATTAAAGAGGCTTTGGAGGAAATCAGTCGCCCTATTCACCGTCTCAACCACAGTGTTCTTGATGTTCTGTAGAAAATCTGAAAAAGGATTTCCATGGTCTTTAGGTTGACTTGAATCGAAATACTCTTCGGTGTTTGCTGAAGATTCAGAACTTCGAGGGGATCCATAATCTTCAAATTCATCATCTGCAACACATTCATTTTTAAATTCACAAAAGGAGTAAAGGATTTATCAAATATTGAAAGTAACGTAAAAGTAAACTGCAAAACTTCACTGGTCTTTTGGGACTGGATGAACTCCATGTAAGCCGAATTGTTGAGGACAGCATTCCATACGTTCGGATCAGCAGCAATTGAAGCAACAACAGACTGAGAGCAAAATCAAAACAATCAACTAATAACCTACAGGTAAAGGAAGCAAATCTAATACGGAACCGAAAGATTACAAGATCAACAACCAAACATAGCATTTTTCCAAAGTAAGTGACCCTAAAAACACTATTAACAATCTGTATGGATGATTACCATTCAAACATGTAGAAAACCAACCCGAGGGTAAGACATGATTGGGAAAACACATCTAACATTTCCCAAGTCAGGGATCCAGGATTTTGGAGGGAAATGGTTTCCACATAATGAAGCAATTATGAGTACTTTAAAACATGAAAGAAAAGAAAAATGTTAACCACAACCTGAACTACAGGATTTTCATTGAGTAATTTGAATGCCTGAATAGCAGGTTTTGGCACTGAAATGGCTTTGACATCACAAGCAACACAATCTTTGGTCTCCTCAGAGTTTGAAAGCGATGACATGCCAGACACCTGAGCAGCAGCGGCCGAATTTGGAGATGACAGATAAAGCCTGAAAATTAATTGATAACCAAAAAATTCTCTATGACACTCTAGAAAAATAACAATATGGTTTTCACACCGCCAATCAAAACTTCAGTGATTCATCCCACCCTCAAAGTAAAGATATCATAAGCAACTAAAAAATCCAATATCAAGTAAAATCCACCACTTAAAAATTCTAACTTCATAGTTTGGGGTTCTTGAAATGATTCTATAAAAGTTAACACTTTCCATAATCAAATTCAGTCCTTCCATAATCAAAATTCAGTCCTTTGCCACTATAAGCAGCCTTTTGATGATGTTTCCCATATCATAATTTTGATAGAAACAGTAAAGCTACACTCATATAAACAAATAAAATAATAGAACACCAAAACAACACATTAGAAAAACCCAAAATAAAACTTTCAGCAATTCAACATCTTTTTCCTAGAAAAGCAACGACCACCGAAGTTTCAGCTTAATTCATGTTCAATCTAATATAAAAGAAATGAATCAAGTGTTTTTATCATTACCCACAAAAGCTAATGAAAACCATCAAAAGAATCATATTTTCTCAAAAATAAATAAACAAAAATTTCTCAAAGCAATAATCTTTACTGATCCAATGCATCCTTCAAGTCAGCAGTGGCTTCTTTAATCTCATCGAGGCTTGGAACGCCGCCGAACAACACCCGAGCCATCGGCTCTCCACGGTCGGAGACGCGGGTGGACCCAACCATAGACCCCTCATCTTCAACACCACCAGCAAACTCCCAGTCATCCACCATCTCCCAAGACGCCTTGAGATTGGCCGACGTGGTCATGTCAGAAACGGAGGAAACCCCAACGCTAGAAAGAGCGGGTGAAGAAGAAGCCGAATGAGAGGCGGCGACACGAATGACGGAATGCTCCGCAGATGGTGGAGTCACCTGCACACCGCCACGAAGGCTGGTGTTAACAACTCCCGCGACCTTCGCCGCTGCCCTCATTACTCCTCCGCCCATATCGATGATTCCACAGGAAAAAAGAAAGAGTTGGAAGAAATCAAGGTTTGCTCTTTTTCGAATTAGCGAGTTTCGAAGAACTCAAGGAGGATAAATTCCTGAATTTTTACATAAAAATAATAAAAAATAAAACATAAAATCTTTGTGTTTTCTTTTTTTTTCTTCTCTTAGAAGGAAAGGATATTTCTATGGTGTGACGTTGACGGTTGACGTGATGATGTTGCTTCGTTTGTAAGGGAACACGAGTGTTCGTTGGATCAGTTAAGTTAATTTTAAATTAAATTAATCAAATTATTTTATTTTATTTTTATTAATTAAATCAAAATTTTAATTTTAAGAATCAATCAATCAAAATTAATTTAATTGGTTTGATTAATTTTTTGATTAGTTAAATAATAAAATAAAATAAAATAAATTTTTAATTTTTTGTATGTGAAATAAATTAAATAAAATCATTTAATAAAAATATTTAATTATTAAATTATTATATTAAAATTTTTAATTTGAAATGAAATGAAAAATTATATATAATTTGAATTTTATATATAAACTTTATTATTTTTCAATTAAAATCAAATTAATCAAAAATAATTTTTTTGAAATTATTTTTAATAATTTATCTAAATTAATTTATAATCAATTGATTAAGTGAATTAAATCGATTTTATCAATTAATTTAATTGAAATCAAATTATAAATACCCTTACTAATATTTATTTTTCTAAAAATGTTCTAATATTTTATTTTCATCAGATTTTAACATTTAATAATTTTATAATATAAAAGGTTTGAATTTTAAATACTTATAAAACCAGAAAAAAAATAGTTTTCAATGTTTTAACGAATATAAACAAAGAAAATGAAGCTAGGACTCGAGAAAGTAATTCAATTTTTTTTTAATAATGATTATTATAAAATTAAAAATATAAAAATTGGAAATATAATTTTTTTATATGAATAGAAACCTCAAAATAATGCTAATCTATTAGAAATTTAATTCACATGAACCTCTAAATTTATATTTATATAAGAAAAGTTTAAATTTGTTGTAAATATTGATCATGTTAGTTTATGAGTTCATTTTTTATATAATAAATGTAAAATTTTTAATTATATTTTTATTAAAATTTAAAAATTCAACTGACAATGAATGAAATAAATTTTATCTTTAATGTATAAACAGAAAATTAAACATCTAATGAATATATTATTTAATTATTTTTTAAACATATATTATTCAATTATTTAATTATAAAATTTTTATTTTAAAATTTTGTCTATTCATTTATTTAAAGAAAATTTGTTTGTGGATTTTAGGAAGCATTAAAATTGTGTTTGTCTTTAAATATACAAACTAATTGAATATCAAGAAATGGATTTGGAGTAAATTTTCATTAATTAGTAGAAAAATTAGGGATTATTATTTATCTAAAAATCTTGTCCTTATTATTCTTTGTCAAATTTTATTTTAGGAAGGTCCGAGATTCTTTTCTCTTCAATAGCATCATGATCAACGGTTCTAAACTAGCCTTTTTGTGCTAAAGACCACAGGCTAGCTAAACCCTTGAAAGTTAAACCCAATCCACAATGACAATTATGGGCTTTAATAGTCCCATGATACATATCCCATTATAATTAAAACCATTCCAAATTTATATCTACCTCACGCTTAAACATAATAATATAATATATGACACGATAATACCATATAAATATGATAAAAAAATAAAATATGAAAGTAATATGACTTAAAAGTATAATAATAATTATATATGAGTTTAACAAAATAAAAAATTATATTTTAAATTTTCGTGTTGATACGAATTATGACACGTAATTTTCGTATAAAATATAATATGAATATACAAATTTTAATATTTTATAAGATACGAATACACGAATCGATAGGTTTACTCACACTTTTACCAAAACCATGTTTACAACCTTTTGATACTAACTTTTCCTTTTTTATGTTTCCAATTTTTTTTTATAAAAAAAATGATTTCCCCTTTTCCCATTAATTCAATTCCATAGCTTCATTTTAGCATTTGGTTAAAAAAAATCAATGTTATCAATTACAAATTTATTTTAGTAAAATCGTAAAAACAATACAATTTTATTCCTTTTTTTATAAAAGATTTTGCAATATGAAAATAAAAGAAAGCTCATTTTAATAAAGATATGAAAATGATATAATCGATTTTTTTTGTATAGAATATATTGTAATCTAAAAATTAAAAAAATAATTTTATGCATTGAAGTTTAATTTTCAAATTTTTTGAATATCATATGTTAAAAATGACATATGAATCAATTAAATTAAATTTTAAATTTGATAATACAAATCAAATTTTAAATCTCTAATTACTATCAGCAACCCAAGTAACATGTGATAGCATAAGGACCTAATGAAAAAATAATAATAATTAGGGGATCCTTAAAACTCATTAAAAACCAAATTTCCCCGAAATAATGACCCTCCTTTTTCCCTTTGAGAAAGCTTTGATCTTGTTTCTTTAATATAACTAGCTAACCCTTAAGCTTCACCTCATTAATTACAATAAATAAATAATTAGAAACCTAAGCTTTCACAAACTGATGCATATGAAAGGACAAAGCAACCCACCATAGGAGAGGCCAAGGGCATATTCCCTCACATATGTGGAAATTCTAAAGGGAAAGGTCCTAGAATAATTAATACTTAATTAGTTCCTAACTGTAGTGCTTGATTTAAGTAATACTGTTAATTAGTTGGGAGATGTGATTTTTAATTAAGTGAACTCATAGTCTAAGCTTAGTTGGTTAAATTTTTTGTTAGGGTCCACCATTGTCTAATTTCCACATTGTCTTTTCAATTAATTTTCCTATCATTAATATTTTATTAGTGGACACACTCTTTATTTGGACAAAAAATATTCCACAAAATAATTTCCATCTTCATTTTGATTTTTTTAATTTGCAAATAAGGTCTAAATTTTCAATACTTGTCAAATTCAATCCCTCAAAGATCACAACTAAGGATAGTAATGGATAGTAAATAAATAGATATCCATCATTATTCAATTCGTTTATATCAAATTCAAATAGTTATAAATAGATAATTAATTGATTCGGATAAAAAATTTATTATTCATGATAAATTTGAAACGGATACGAATAATATCTTTTAGATATTTAATATCCAAATCAGTTAAGTTTTAATGAATAGTAATAAATATTTGAATCTATTTTTGAATTTGTTATCCGTTTACATATATAAAATATATAAAGTTTTATACTTGTAAAAAGTTATGAACTTTAAAAAATAACTTTTATTTATTATTAATTAAGAGTGAATTTGAATTTTAAATTAAATTTTTGTTTATTTTAAATAAGTAAATATTTTAATAGATACATATATTTAAACGAATAATATTTATTTAAACGGATTGAAATTTGAATAATAATATTAAATTTAAATGAATATTTATATAAATTAAAATATTAAAAATATTAAATGGATTTGAATAAAAATATTTAAAAAATGATGGATATTTGCTCAGTTGTCATTCTTAATAAAAAATAATGTCAAATATCATGTACATTAGACAATTATAAAAGTCATAAAAAAAAGATACATTACATTATAAATTTTCAGCAATTATTTTTTCATTGGAGTTGAAAAAAAGTAAAAAAAAAAAAAAAAAGGTCTTTTCAATCCAAAAGAGGTTAAACGGATCCCAAGAGGAGTGCAAAGACATTGTGATAATGCCAAAGCCAAAGTAAAAGCCAAAGACAATGAAAACAAAAGTGCAAAAATGCATCATGTAACCCACATCGAGGTGCTTGTGGGTCCCTTTAACAATACAAAACATTAACACATTGGCCCCACTTTTCCCGCCTAAAATAATTAAGTAAACATTATGGTGAAAAAAAAAATTCATGGTAGTATATATTATAGTATTAAGAATAACATATTAAAAATTAAAATTTTAATTTAATTAATTTATATAATTATTTTAAAAAATAAATTTCAATATTAACATTTTTTTAATTTCAAATTACATTTTTTTTATATGAAAAGGAGAGATTAAAATAAAGTTTTAATTAATAAATTAAAGCAAATTTATAGTAAAATCCATGAATAAAAGTGTTTTATAGGTATGTGAACCAAGCCAACACAAATTTTGCCGTGAATAAAGGCTTTCTTTTTTTTTTTTCTAATTAAAAAAAAATCATTGCTCAAAGTAATTTTCACACAAAAATATTGATATTTTAGGAGATGAAAAGTTTTTAATCATAATGATTAAGTAACTGACATATAAATAAAAATATAACTTTGGGTTTAAATTTTGAGGAGATTAAGATTTTTGTAAATCACTAATTAAAGAAAATGCTAAATATTATCTCTTTATTTGAACTTTTCTTATCAAAATTTATCACAAAACTAAAATATTTCAAATAATTTGATTTTTGAAAGGTTTGGAATTCTTGATTGGCTTTTCTCATATTGAAATTTGATAAAGTTACTAGTTAGTTAGGGATATATCCTTTTGGATAAGAATATTTAAAAAAATTTAGATTTAGTTAAATTAATTCGTACATTTATTTTTAAAAAATAACGATATCTATATTTAAATTTTAATATCTATAATTTTTTTTTATTTTAAAGCCGCGATTTCTTTGTAAAATAAAAAAAATGTCATTTAAAAAATTAAAAAAATATCAAAAGTAAATGATTAATTATTATTTTGTTAAAGATAAATAAGCATTTATCCTTTGCTTGGATGCTAATCTAATCATTTTTTTTTTATCTTCAAATGGATTAAATTAAAACAAAAGGGAATGAAGGAAGGGAACAAAAAGTCAAAAAAAAAAAAGATTAGACCTTTTAACTTGATTAGGATATTATTAGATTCCAAGAAATCCACTTTACAACTCCTAAACATAACCAAAAATTAATTATATTTAACTATAATTAAAAAACCCTAATCAATTATTACATATTTATATATAAAAAAAAAAGACAAAAATTGAAACAGCTTGGAATCTTTTTCTATCTCATAGCCTCAAACCCTTTCTCCTTCCTCACATGATTCTTCTTCAATATTCCTGCAAAAACCAACCCAATATTTATTATTAATCACTAAAAAATGAAAGAAAAAAATGACAAATTTTCACATTTATTTTTCAAAATATCATTAGGATAATTATTTCTTTTTGTTACAAGAAGCTGCTAGTGAGTAATTGGACTCTGTGCTGTTGGTGTTTGTACCTTGTACTATTGAAATTGATGTAATTTTTTTGTCATATTTTTCTTTTTGTAATTTTAGGAATTAAACAAAAAATAAAAGTTAGAATACAAACAAAAAAGGAAAAGAGAAAAAGGAAACTGACTAGAAGAGAAAACTACAGCCATGAATGTAACTGGAATAATCAGACATAACCAGGCATTAATTAAAATCCAAAGCTGTTTTTTTTCTCAAAATAATAACAGAAAACCCTAATTCAATAACAAAAAAAATCAAAGTTTACATCAACATTAAACACCCTTCAAAAAATATCTCACTGAAAAACTAGGCCACACCAACATTCTAATATGCTATGATTATCTCTTAAATCAGTCATATATTATTGGAATTGACATTTTAAAAATTATAAATTTAAAAAATTTTAAATATGTAATATTTTTTTCAATTAAATATATAATAAGATAAAAAATTTAAAAATATATTAAAAATTTTAAAAAAATCTACATAATTCTTACTTATTAAAATTAAAATTTTAATATTTTATCAATAAATCAGTTAATAAATTTATCAAGAAAAAATGAGAATTAATCTGATCTATGATCCTTGAAAGAAGTTGGAGTTTTTTAATTCAGGGGTTATCTTTGGATTTTGCAAACTAATGGATAAATTTAAAAAAAAAAAGAAGAAAAAAAAAGAAGAAAGAAAAGGAAGACATGGATTTACCTTGAGGTTTACAGTCGGGAGGTTCTTCAAAGAGAGATAAGGAAAGTTGTTTGTGAGCAACACCAATGTCAAACAAAATAAGACCAGAATTAGGATCATCGACAATGATGTCTTTAACAGGTAACCACAGGAAGAGTTCTTCTTGGGTTAACCCAACAACACCAATGAGGCTGCCATAGGTAAGGTTAGCCCTTACAACACTGTCAAAGAACACCCTATTCTCATACTTGGTCAAGCATGGTCCATCCAACAAAACTTCCAGGGTTCCATTTTCTGAAAGGGTATAGGATTTTACTTCCTTTGGAAGCAGCCCTGCTGGTAACCCTCTTGAAACAAGAAGATCATGGATTGAAGCAGAAGAAGAGGAAAAAGAGAAGGGGGAAAAGCAAAACAATATGGAAAAAAAACAAAGCAGATTTCTTATATAAACCCTGGTTTTGGTGCTGCTGAGGAATGCCATTGATGATATTTCAAGTGTATAGAAATATGGAAAAGATAAAAGGGGAGAAAAAGAAATAACAATGGGTGTTGGCCTGTCAGAGAGATGGAAGGAGAGAGATAAAAAAAAATGAAAGTGCAAGGCTGTTTAAAAAAAAGTTGAAAAAAAGGCGAAATGACTCTTATGTCCTTGGTTGGTGAATGGGGCCTCTTTACAAGGAGGGAGAGCCTATCAGGGTTTAATTAATTTTCTTGTAATTTATCACTTAATGAACATTAATCCAATATTCTTAGGTTTTATTGATATTTTTCTTTTTTTATATATATATAAAAAAATTCATAATTTAAAAATAATAAAAAAATTATGAGTGTTAAAATTTAAACTTTTAAATCAACTTAATGTTATTTTAAAAAAATATATACGTACCCATTGAATTAAAATATGAATTTCATTGATATTTTTCTTTAATATGTTGCTTTCCTCCTTGTGTTAATATATGTGATAAGCTTTTAAACATGGTGTGGCCCATTGGGATATGATGCAATCTTGAGTTATTTGCATTATTTCTCTTGCCTTTTTATGCATAATTATCGAATTTTTGTTGAATAAAAATTCGTTATGTCATGCGAAAATTGGAAAATAATAGAATTTTATTTCATTTTATGAAAACTTATCTAAAGATTTGGGTCATATTTGATAAACTTGATACATGTAAAAAATGATTTATCTAAAACAATAATTTTTATAATAATATTTATATTACAATGTTTATAATTAAATGATAATTACATTGGTTTTATCTCTTGCATTTACTAATGTTAATTTCCCAAGTTCATGGTTGTCAAAAGTTTCAAACATTAATTCTCTGAAATTATCCAATTATAGCACAATCTCCTCATGTTCAAGAGCAAATCTGCAAAAGAGAAAGCAGCAAAGGCACAAGAGTTTTTATCCCAAGGTCATCACAACCAAGATTCATAAGATTCAAGAAGGAAGCATATAGGCAAGGAAGATACAGTTCATTGAGCACAAAGTCTAACAGGCAGCTTGATAACAGTAGAAAATGGTTTCTCAAGGAGGCAATAGGATGGGCCTTCAATGGAGTATTTAGGTTTCGGCTTTAGTTGGGAGAGAAGAAGAGAAGGTTAGTGACAAAATGATTTCCATTGCAATCTTACGAGTAAAATTGTTAACCAAACGAAAGTGATTACAACCAATTAAATTATCAATAATGTGCCTTACTTCCCTTGTATCAAACGTCTTCTTATTTCATGATATATGATACTCTAAATTTTTACGGTATTGTGCATTTTGATATGTACCTAATGGATGAATTCAAAATTCACCATTGCAATACAAAACATTTGGAAACAATTTTTAACAAATGAAATAAATTAAACAAATTCGAACATTATCAAATTATCATATATGATCTTGTCCTTATGTTTGATTTTGATTTAGAAGGTGTAATATCCAATCATAAATAGTTTTGAATGATCAAACTTACGATAAATTTAATTAAATTTTAGATAATTTTATCTAAAAATTTTTGTAATCATTAAAGTTTAGAAAAATTTAACAAATCAAATGAAATATTTTTATTATTTTTTAATTTACTTTTCTTTTCTCGCAAGCAAAACTTAAACAATTTACACAAAAAGAGGTCCCCTACCAAATTGTTGCATGGACAAAAGGTCAATCAATCTCAATCTTTCTTGTTCAGATATTATCACAAGGATGCTGATCCAAGGCAAGCAAAATTATTATAAAAAACCCTAACCCTAATTATAGTGATCATGAAACTATGATTAATTAGTCATGAAAGGGTAATTTGGTCAAAACGTAATCTTAAACTTGGATTATAGATTACACTCATAAAAGCATGTAACGGTTGAATACTGCAGTCAAAAAGGCAGAAACTCTCAAAGTCTCCATATTGTCAGATGAGTAACTAAAGAGCGAATATGTTATTTTACCTTCCACAGTTCATATTTTAACTTTTTTTTTCTTGTATTTATAATAAATTTTATGATTTAAAATACGACATAAAATAAAATTAATATAAATAAAATATTAAAAATAATACAATTTAAAATTATAATAAAAGTTATATAAAAATTTAACAAAAAAAATATTTTATATTTTTATATCGATATAAATTATGAAATATAATTTTTATATAAAATATAATATTAATATATAAATTATCAACATTTTATATACACTTATACACTCCGGTCTTATTTATAGACTTAAATTCAGCTTTATTTGAGAGAGGAGAATTAGGAAAAAATTATGAAAAAACAATTTCTGACAAAAGGGACAAAATAGATTTTTTATTTACAGTTTTGCCACTTTGGGAAAGGGAAGGAGGACTGCAACCCGAAGCCCGAAGGTCTTGATGGGTAATGATTGCGTTACGGGCAGTGGAACTGGTTGGTGACCCGGCCATATGATTTGACACACGTGGACCAAGGTGACTGGCAACTTGGCACTGCCGGTTGCTCAGATGGTCACGAGCATTGGATTGTGTTGGAGGGGTGGGCCAGGCTAAAAGCAGGTTTCCGGTTGGGAATTGGCCCACGTGTGGGTCATGCTGGTCCCCACGCGTGACATTTGCGTGACCTCTTTCAATGAATTCTTTTTGGCCACATTTCCTTATGGAATCTAGTATCCCCAAAGAGCATACTGTTTTTCCCTTTCAAAACAAAATAAATAATTTAAAAAATTTCTCTTCTTAAATTATTATTCTATTAAATATTTTTATATTTTCTTAAAAATATATGATTTTTTAAATATAAGAAACACAAAAATTAAAAATGACCATAGATGAAATTATGGGTGGAGAATGTCTCACAATCTAAAAATTTTCATTTTAAATTTAAGATTTAATTTAAATGATTCATTTATTTTTTAAAAAAATTAAATTTTCCTAAAGTTGGAATTTGATCTCAATGATTACAATTTCTCTTCTCTGATCTTCCTAAACTACAACCATTTTTATATAAAAAAAATTTAAATTTTAAACTCGTCGATTACTTTTTTTTTAAAGTAATTATATAAATTTATTGAGTTAAACTTTGAATATATTAAATAATTTGAAGTAGTATTTTTAAGATATTCATCATCAAAATCTTATATATAGGCCTACCTACTAGTGTATAATTTTGTTACTATGCATTGACATGTTAGTTTATCAAAATTTAATTACACCATTAAAATATAATTTCAATGCTAATATAAAAAAGGGCTTCCAATGTAGTAAAAATATGGTATGGTAAAAATGAATAAAGAAATAAAATAAGTGTGATCAACCCTTATAAAAGAAGAGAGGGATCTTACACCATTAAAGAATTTGAGTAAAAGAATAGAATGGTGAGAAGCTCAAGAAGAAAGAGCATGAAATGATACCTTAAAACAAGGGAATAACTCTATAAAAGAGATGGCAAAATATCAATGCTAATCATTATTATGTCCACTAATGATATGATTAAGAATTAATGTGGTTTGTTTCTTCAATAAACATATGCAAATGATCTTCATAGCCAGAGCATGCTTTGTTATAATAATAAGATTATCATGAATGGCATTAACATTTTGCTTATCTTTACTATATTTTAAAATGTCTCTATCTAATCTTAATTAAATAGGTTTCTTCAAATTAGTGTTTCTTTATTTTCCTAATTATAGAATTAATTAATATAATAACTAAGCAAATTTTTAGAATAAACTTTAACATACTTGGAAAAAACTTTTATCATTAGTTCATAAGCATTTTGCAAAATTTTATTTTCATTCATGTCTTAAAATTTTGATTTTTTTGTAAGTGATTTTTTTTACAAACTTGCAATTGTAATAACCTAGAAGGGGTTTTGTAATTAGCTAGCAAGCTTAATTTATAAAAGTTTATTTGATAAACAAAGTTTAATAAGCTTCTTATATTAGATGAATGCATGACTAGCTAGAACATTTTTAACAAAAGGAAAATTGCTTTTTCTACTATTCTCTTTGTTTCCATGGATTGTTGTTATCTCTTATCCCTGTTATAAACCCTATCATCTTTCCCAAAAGGTTAAAGAAATTTAAAACAAATATAAAAGAAAAAAGAAGAGTAAGTTCTTAAAATATCCCAACAAAGCTTCTAATTTCAATTTCTTTTTTTATTTTTCCCTTCTCCAAGAAGATATTTCTTTATTTTCTTTTAAATTAAACCTTTTGTTTGTTTATCAGCTAATAAATCTAAGAATATTTTTGATGCATAAAATTATGATAAAAAAATAAAATAATATTATAATTAGAATTAGATTAAATAACATTATCTTATCTTGTGTTTGATAGGTGCAAAAATAAAGATATGATAATTTTATTTGTTGATCAAAAATTTTTTTTCTCAAAGTTTATATAATTTAAATTATTAATATAATTTTTAAGGATATAATAAAACATATAAATTTAATCTCACGGATTAAAAATAATTCTTTTATTTTAAAATGATTGAATCATCTTATGTCAAAAAAATAATTAATTCTCATAATCATATCAATTTCTTTAAACATAAACTAAACATGATAGAGTATACTTATCATTCTATCTCATCTATCATTATATACATAAAACATGATCTAATTTCATTATATTTCTAGTTGATCAAGGCCTTAATTGCCCTTCACATAAACTTCACAAATAGCCGTTAGCATTTTTTTTTTTTTTTGGCTTGGTTCAAATAAATTTATTTATGTTGTCAAGGGTGACGTTAGAAGGGGGTAACCAGGGGCCACGATTCCTCCAAAATTGTTTATTTTTCTTATTGTCTAATGATCAGTTCCATCTAATTCCTATTTTGATTTTCTTTAAAATTATTATTTAACCTCTCTTTTATTTATTTTTTACTTTCACCTTTGTACGTTAAATTTAATAAATTCATGAAAAATTAATTCTCATGGCTTCATAATAAAATTGAACTCGAATCAACAAAACAAAAGCCAACTTTTTTTGACACTTGGAGCTAACATTCGTGTATACTAATAGATAGCTGCTAGTTATCGCGTGTAGCATATCCCGTATATAAGGGAATGAAATGTCTTTAATATGAAAGTGGAGGATAAAACTCTTCCATGGTTAAGTTAGTGTTGGAGGAAGGGGAAAAAGATTGAGATCTGTTCAAGCTACCAATTAGCTTTGCCTTATGAAGGCAAACATAAGTAGAATTAGCCTGACAATTTTTTTTTTTTTTGTTTTCTTTTTATCCAGACAACAATTGGTTTTGAGGAAGGAACAAAAGCCATAGAGTATGGCTTTCCTAAGAAAAAAGCTTTCTTTTGTTAACTATTTTTACTACTAATAGCCACCAATTTAATTTGAAGATTTTTTTTTTCCCTTTCATGTTTTCATTTTGGTTGAGTTTTGCTACATTAACCATGTGAAATAATCAGTTGGCTGAATCATGGGCTAGGGAGGACAATGGGAAGACTTAGAAGTGGGATTTCACCCCATTTACCAATCATCCAATGGCACTCAAATTCAATCATGATTAATTGTGTATACCTTTTTCTTTAATATGAATTCATGAATAGGTTTTTTTTTTTTTTTTAAGAGAATTTAAATTAACCAAGCGTTGGTGTTTTTAACTTGAAATGTCATCAATGGCAGACTGAAAAAATGCTGTTAGGCACTAAGGATCCCTAGTTGCTGCATTCTCTTTCTTAAATCAATCTACCAAAGTCTGGAAAAGGTGAAAAACAAACCCCACGTTGAAGCCTCTTGGTTCATGAAACATGGTGTGACACGGCAGGTCAAGGGTTGAAGGAGTGGAGAGAATGAAAAAAAAAAAAAGACATAGATGATCTGACCAGTTGGCAGTCATTAAAAAGAATCTGACCATTTATATTGAAGATGCAATGTTAAACATTTGTGTTTTACAGATTGATTATGCCTACACGGTTGCAATTTTGTTACTCAAAATTTCCATTTTGAATGACGATGAAAGAAGAAGATATTGTGTGATGTTCTTATATAGTCGCCAATGACATCCAGATTCAGACATTCAAAAGTATGGTGTCCAAGGACATCCTAAAGATTGAAAAACAACAAAATTTGAAGGAAATTTTTTCCTGGACACACCAAAAAATTCCCTCCCGAACACTCCCAAAACTTTTACAGGATTTGAAGCTCATGTTTATTTGATTTCGAGATTGGTTACATGAATATATCCCACACTCATGAATTAACACATAAATGAAGGTTTTCTTCATGGAACTTCACAGCCTTTCATGAAACTGTATTTATATCTAAACACCCTGCATATGTTCATACATAGTTGACCAAGAAAAGAAGCAACTGGAAACCAAGGCAAGCACAAATAACCAAAATCGATCATGTTACCAAAAGGTCAACCACATCCATATAGCTGAAAGTTTAAATGGGAAACAAATCTGATGCGAGATCTAAGGTAATCGTAACGGCGTGATGCTAACATACTTCTCAATTGAAAACATTCAAACCACAAACTCATATAGGTCCATTTCTGTCTGCAAAAAGCGACTACAAAGACTTTACGGGGAAAATTTATATAACAGATATATAGTACTGCAGAACATGTATTCCAATAACATGCAGAATAGTGATATCAGCTTGACGAGTGCAACCTCTCCTAGCAGAGAAACATTGATGAACTGCCAACAAAAGAAAATAATTTGCATGATGAAAGTTAAACTTTAGACCAACATAACTCAGAGGAGTATAGAAAGGCATTTCTGGTACATTGTCAAGATGATGATTCCGGCCGACTTGCTGCCTGCTTTGATTGGGACTGTCCTGCAGGAGGACCATCTTTTCGTCTCTCATATCTTTTGCTCACATATTTTGATTCTTTTCTTGGCTTTGGTTGATAAGTAGGGTATTTGCAGGGAATTATTTCCCCATTGATATATTTATCACCTAAAAGTACACAAAAGCACATTATATAACCATAATCTACCTGTCAAGTGAAACAAAAATTTCTTTGTATAACTTTGGTTAATTTAGCACAACCAACCTCCATAATCTTTATTTTTGACGTCTATGTAGGAATCAGGTAGCACCCAGAGTACTCCAGGCAATCCTACATCCAAAAGAATAAAATTCATTCTTAAGTCACGATAACAACATAGTTTAGAGTCTTTAGACAGACAACTGCCTGGTTAATATTCATACCCTTGAACTTTTCAGAGGTTTCTTCTGATACAGTACATTGAAATCCCGTATATGTAGTGGTGCTAAAAGCATACATGTTCTTCTTTGCTTCTTCCATGCTATGTAGAAAAAAAATCATATCTGAGATTTCTTTATTACAATTACCAGATACACATATACTCACAGAAATGGTATGTTATTTTATTACACACTCATAATGATTAAACACATAAATAAAGAAGTGCCGAAAGTTGATAACTAAGAAAGGCTCATCCATGGTATCTGGCCTTCACTAATTTGCAGAAATGCAGATCAATCTAGCTAGTTCTTAAGTTCCTGACAATGACTAAACTGCAAACCTTCTTGGATCTCAAAAGCTGAGGTGACAGATTCAGGTAAAGAGGTACATTTCCGGGCTAGGACAAAGATTCTGTCCTCAGTAACCTCAATTTCTCAGGATAAACTGTTATAATGTAGTCTGAAAGTCGTTATAATGAGACAGATAACTTGCAATATATTCTCCTCTTCACTCTACTTCAACTTTATTGGCCAACTACTAGTTATGATCATTCAAGCAGAATCAAGATAATTGTAAGCAAAGCATTGTTCAATCTTATTTCTTTCATTCAATTCAAGACTCCATCTTTATTCATAACCCTCAGGCTAAAACAAATAACATGTAACATTCACCACCTTAAACTCAATAAATTAAACAAAGGAATTCTCTTTCTATGTTTCATAAAGAACCCAGGGAAACAAACATACACAGAAAGCCAAAACAGGTATACATACATATATATATATATATATACATATATATATATATATACAAAAGAAAAAATAGAAATTTGCAGCAGTTCCATACAAAGCCAAGCAAAACACACAGAAAATCTCATCAAAGTTTGACATTCCTCAACAAAACAAAACAAACCCAGAAAATCAAAAAGAGGAATTTTTAAACACTTCATAAAAAACCAAGCAAAACTCACAAAAACTTGCATCAAAATTTCATATTTTTCAGATTTGTAACTAAACAAAAGAAACCCAGAAAACAGAAAGTCTCACCTGCCAAGCACAGTAGCAAGAGTGTTAAGATAAGTCTCAATCATTTGTTCTCTTGTAGGAGCAGGGTCTTTAGGAAACTCCATAACAATAAGCCAATGGTTATAATCACAGCCAGGTAACATTATCGTTTCCCTTGGCTCATTGCTGCTGCTCCTCTTGGGTGAATAGTTACTGTCAAGTGCAGAAGCTTTGATAAAACGAGTAGGACGAATTATTGTTGTTGATGAGGACGGAAGGTGGTGAGTCAGTGAGTTGACTTGGAGAGTAGGTGGTGGAGCGAGTAGGAGACGAGTCGGAAGAAAGGATTTTGTGGGCAGAAGAAGAGTAGAAGGGTTTAAGAGAGTAGCCATTGAAGATGTGAAAGAGAGACAGAGAGGGGCGAAGAGATTAGATTGTGATATTTTTTTTGAACTGACGAATTGAACTGAAAATATTATAAGGTTTGGGGACTTTGGGAAAGTTGATATTTTTAGTGTTTGATTTTGGGTCAATTTGTTTTTGGGCTAAAAATCCAAAATTCATGGCTTTGAAGTTATGACATCTGAAGGCATGGCCTAGGCAAAATGGGTTTAAAAGAGTCCATGTGGTTATGCTTCCTGTGACATGGCCCAACTTGAGGAATGCCAAATCTAGGCCTTTAAAACCCAACCAAGTACATATAATATACCTAGGGTTGGCAGCCCAACCCGGAACCAGCGGGATCTGATCCGACCCGACCCTATAAGGTCGTTTTTTTTTTTTTTTTTCAAAATCGAGTTTCGGGTCGGGTATTATTAAGGGAAAATCGGTGTCAGGTCGGATTCGGATTTTAGGCAAACCTGACATAATCCGATATTATATAAAAAATTATTTTTTAATTATATATATTTATATTTAAAAAACAATATTTTATTAATTTTGGTCAAATTAAATCAGATACAATTTATATAATGTCGGATTCGAGCATAAAAAATAAAAAAAATTTTGGATCGAGTACGGATACGAATTTTATGTTTATAAAATCTGGTCGGGTTCGAGGCGAGCAAAAACCCGCCGCGATCCGTTGTCAACACTAAATATACCTATAATAAATGCCAAATACAGAAAAAATATATGTGATTATTTGAAATTTAGTTTAATTAATTTATATAATTATTGATAAAAGGTAATATCCAACATATTTAAAAGTTTGAAATCTAATATGTGCAATATTTTTGAGCCAATAATCGTACGATTTGTTAGTAAAATGCTGCATTCTTTTCAAATCTTGGTAGTTTTAAATATAAAAAATATATATAGGAAAAAAAACAATAAATTTGCCATGAATTACTCCTAGAAGAGTCTGCTGGAATATTTTCCATACCATTTGGCAATTGGCATCTAAGCAAACACACATCAGTATTGAAAATAACAGATTTGAAAATCTGCAACTCTTTCTCAACCACTCTTGGTCCATTATTCCTTCTTCAAAATGCAAAATAATTTTTTTAACAAGCAGTCAGTGAATGATGCAAGCTTGAAAACAGTGTCAAAATCATCTTGTTTTAAGTCAACCAGAGTAGTTAGTTGGGAGAATGGCAGGTAAGAAGAGAATAATTTATAAAGCTAGCTTAAGAGTGGTTTAGTTGGCTAATTATCAGTATTTTACATTGGATCTCAAAGGTACAAACCTTCAAAGCTGTCTGTTATAACTCTAGCATATTGTATATCATTATTTTTCTCATATACAAAACTGATTCAGGTTTTTTTTTGTAAAACAGCAAGTGATTTTTAGGATTTGCCTAGTATATTCACTTTTCCTACAGGTACAAGTAAGTTTATTTATGTTAATTCTGACGAATTTATGAAAAATTACCTTCCTACGCCCTGTAATGAAAAAAAAGAGTAAATTATTTTTACCACTTGAGCCAACCATTCATTGGTAAAATTTTATCAGTTTGATTTAGTCTGCTTCATGTATTTGAATACAAAACAGGTTCCAGCAGAGAAGGCGTGTTTAATCAGTTGAATTTAGCAGTGTTAGATGGTGGGAAGACATGGACATGTACTTCTTAATATATCCCAACATCAGATCATACAGTGAGGGTTTCATTTATATAGTTAAATAATCCTTGCTCATAAAAAAACAAGGAATTTCAGCTGTTGGGAAAAAGCTAAAGTTGCCTCAGATTCAAACATGAAAATGTCAAGTGTTGTTGTTATCCTTGTTTCTTTCTCAGACATTCAACTTGAAAAGTGAAGACATCACTTGATAAAAAAAAGAACATTATCTAATCCTAGTCTTGAACTTGATTGAATGCTGACTCCACCGAGTGCGATTACAGCAGGTTTTCCTTTTTTTTTGGCAATTTTTAATTTCTGAAAGAAAGATATACCCTTTTTTCTCAGCTTATTAAACAATGCTTTCAATCATCAATCAATGATACAAATTTCAGTTTTCAAGCTTTTTGCATGGATAATGTGACTCTTCAATACATACAAATGGTCAATTCAGATTGCCGACCAGAAGAGTATTTTAAGGCTTTTGCATGAATAATTTATCCAGGTTGTCCAACTGTCTGCTTCAACCTCAGCAATCAACATCAGAAATTAAAAAAAAAAAAGATTACTATTAACATTACTGAGTAACTGCATTCTCGTCCCTCCAGGATTGGATTCAATAAGAATTTTATCATGGAAATTAGAAGAACATTTCAAAGTCTATTATTGTTCTAATATATTCAACAACCAAAACTTGTCTTAATCTTAAATCTGACATAGTTGCTTAACCAAAGAGAATTGTCCTAATTGGTGTGCTCCAGTCATCTTTCCGCACCTTCAATTATATGAACCAAATGTCTTGATAGGAGTCTCAGACCATAGGTAGGCCCGGATCCACGTTCAAAAGTAAGGTGTTCATGGATATTTTTAAAAATTGAAAATTAAAAAATTAAAAAAAAATTTTAAACACCCCTAAAATTTTTTTAGATATCCTTTCCGTCAATAAAATTGATAAATCGACATTTTTTTTATATAAATTATATAAATAGATGTCCCGAAATTTTTTTTTGAATCCGTTACTTACTAGAAGACTTCTCCTAATACATACTAACTATCCAAGTTGCCGACAACTATTTGCAGATGAAGCTGCATGAGTGCAAAGAAAAAAAATTATTATCCAACAGGGATCAGATCAAAGATAGTCAAAGAATCACAAACTCTGTTTAACTTACATCATTTATATACGACATAATGTTATAATCTTCACGTCAGATGAAAATGATCATAACACTTCTAACCATTGTTACAACATGATACCCATTTCTTTTGAAATACATTATCCCTTCCTTTGACCAAATTCTCAAAATTTAACTAATAAATTGTAACAATCACGTTATCTGTTGATAGAATATTAAATTTTTAATTATAATAATTTAGATAAAAAGACTAATATTTACAAACTAAAGAGTCATAAATATCCTCAAATACTCTATTTCATAAAAAAAAAAATAGAGGGTATCCTAAATTTTGTGCGCATCAAATATATATCGGAATATAACAAAAATAATTTTTTTTTTAGATTTTTCTTGTTTAATTTGAAATTATCTCCTTTGAGAATAAATTTCATAGACAATGAATGGGTTCTATTATTGTACTTTGTAAATTACATCTCCGACTTGTATTTTTCAAAGCCATCATTTTCACGATTTCCACATGCATCTATTAAATTCTTGTAGCATTCATGTATCTTATTTCGACAATAATTTGAACAAGAAATCGACTATATAATTTGGCAGGATTATTATTTTCTACATCTATATTAGGATGAAAGAATTTTATTTACATTATTGTTAATTTTTTATTTAAATATGATAAATAAAAAATTCGTATATTAATTAGAAGTGTTCATGAATCACGTCGCATGTTAATAACTTCTAGCTTAAAAATGAAGTGATCTCTCCATACCTAAATTTTTTTACCTTCCAATAGTTTAAAAGGTACCTCTTTTTACTTTGATTTTCTAGGCAACGTCCTTTGCTTTATTATTGTTGTAAAATTTCATTATCCATCAATCATCTTTTGATTCATAATCAACATCAAATTTAAACTGTAATTGGTTGCTATAGTGGTCCTTGTCCCTAAAAAGCAAAACCTCTACCTTTCCATATCACACTAAAAAAGTTTCTTTCTCTTTGTGATATTTCCTCATCTTTTAATCACTCTCAACTCAACATTTAACTTTCTACCATTTTTCCTTCTTTAACCTAAAAGTGATATTTAACATTATAAGTATATATGTTTACTCACAAAAATTAGTTCAGTTGGTAAAGAAAATAAAATTTTAAACGTATCATATCATTGTGAGAAAATACATTTTTAAAATCCTTGGAAGATAGGATTAAACTATGATAAAATGGTACAATTATTATAAGATAAGATTAAACCTAAACAAAACCTAAAAATACCTATAAATTAATTGATAAAAATAAACTTTTATCGACCGATTATCATCAATTATCGATAGAATATCAACGGATTAGCAAAAAACTACTGACAGATAAAATTTTACGTTGGTAATTAATGATGGAATTTTAAATTTACTGATAAAATACTATTATCAACATGCTTACTACCAATGAAAATTTTCATCGATAAAATATTTTACCGAAAGAAATTTAAGCTATTATTGAGAGAAAAATTACATCGATAAAACCATGTTTCTTGATAATTTAAGTTATTACCAATGAAAATTATGTCGATAAATCTTAGTTTTTGATAATCTGAGAAAATACACTTTTAAAATCTTCCGAAGATAAGATTAAACTCTAACAAGATGTTACAATTGTTAGAAGATAAGATTAAATCTAAACAAAACAAAAAATACCAATAAATTTATTGACGAAAATCAGCTTTTACTAGCCGATTATCAATCAATTACCGACGAAATGCCAATGGATTAGCAATAAATTATTAACATATTTTATTGATGGAGTGCCAACGCAATAAACAACGAAAAATTTACCGACAAAATTTTATGTCAATAATCACTAATGAAATTTTAAATTTACCTATGGAATACTATTATCGATATGCTTACCACCAATGAAAATTTTCATCGATAAAATATTTTACCAAAGGAATTTAAGTTATTATTGAGAGAAAAATTCCATTGATAAAGCCTTGTTTCTCAATAATTTAAATTATTAATAATGAAAATTATGTCGATAAATCATATTTTCTAATAATGTGAGAAAATAAACTTTTAAAATCGTTCGAAAATAATATTAAACTCAAACAAAACTTTGCAATTGTTAAAATATACGATTAAACCCAAACAAAACCCAAGAATCCTTTTAACTTGATATTTGAGGGTGTTTCATTTGGCATATCTAAAAAGCATGTGGGAATTGAATGAAAATAAAACTGTCCATGTTCATTAACCATATGAATTCATGATTCTCTTGCAATTTTATAAGGTTTATATATACATAAACGAGGACTTCACTTTCTTATATG